AATTTTTACAACTTGGAAATATAATAGATAACAATTTCGGTTTAGTTTAAGAGTTCGTTTGGTTTACATCTACCACTGTGTGTGCAGGATTAAAATAAAATTCTTCACATCCCAATATAAGTGTGCTATCTCTAAATAATTAAGTCAAAACCCAACAGTTTGTATGAGTGACTTCAATTCATCCGTAATTATAGCATGATGATGAGTTTAGTACATTTAATGTTTCACTTATTAACTACCTAGCCTCTTTCTAGATTATCACACACAAATGCTCTGATTCTTGAATCAAGAAGAAAGAAAACGTTACGCTATCGATTTCTAATTTCGATTATCAGATTGTTTTAATCTCACGCTTATGTTATTTCTGATTGTTATCGATTACTTCCGTTAATAAATGTAATTGCATTTTATGTGCTTATTGAGTTATCAGCTCACTTTCTCTCTTATTCTTTACTCTTCCAGGTAATTTTACATACTGCTCCTCACACTCCTTTAGCACACCAAGTACTTTCAGGCTAGACGAAAACCTACCAAAAAATGGATGTTACACACAAAATAAAACAAAAGCACAGTGGTATTTATAAAATAACAGGTGACCTATGGATTTTAAAATTTAGGGAGAAAATATCCGAAAATCAATAGTAACTTATGGGAACTATTCAATCTGATTTAGGAAAAATATGATAAGGTATTTTTTAGTATTTCTTTAAAAAAATATTATGAGAAGGGGTTTTGTGGAGATTTTTAGAAATTTCACTGGTTGAAATCATGAGTCAATTGAAGCTAGACCACCATGGGAAACCAGGAAGAACTGGACGGCTGTTTCGTCCCAGTGTGGGACTCCTCAGCAGTGCGCATCCGCGGTCCCACCCCCGTGAAATTCGAATCCAGGACCTAACAGTCTCGCGCGCGAGCGCTCAACCATTAGACCACTAAGACGGCATCCAACGATGTTAATGTCTAAATTCAGCTAACCGACGAAATTGCACCACCGTACACTATTGTCTTCAGTGAGTTGATATCTCACAACAGACCTGGTTGAGCGAAACGGCCGTCCAGTGCTTCCAGGTTTTCCACCAAAAGATTGATGTTAGCAAGCTGGTTGCAACTTCTGTTGCAAATAAGTATCGAACCGAGCTAGCCTCTAGGCTAGCTACCACTCCACCGAAAAGTATAGATGAGCATTGGTTGCAATTGCATGACGCCATGAAAATGGCGGGAACAGTCAGTTATGGGTTTGCAAAACGTCCTGCTTTTAAGCACTGGGTTTCTTCAGGCTCCTTACAACTCATTGAAGCCCGTCGGTCTACTCTGGGTGACCGTGAGTTTGACCATAAACGAAGGATGTTATGTAAGGAAATTGGGCAAAGCTTGCGTAAGGACCGAGAAGCCTGGTGGTCGAAGCGTGCTAATGAGCTGGAAGCAGCAGCTGCATCTGGTAATTACCGGAAGCTCTTCCAGCTCATCCGAGCCACTGGCAGCAAGAAGTCTGGAGTGAGTGAAACAATCTGCGAGGATGATGGGATGCCAATCACTAACATCCATCGACGTCTTGGACGATGGGCAGAATTTTTCGAAGGGCAGTTCAACTGGCCTGCTGTTCCGGCAACATCGGTCAGACTGTCCTGCCCTCCACGGCCGGTGACGACTGATCCACCAAACGAGGAGGAAGTCCGCAAGGAACTCCAACTCTTGAAGCGTTACAAATCACCTGGCCCAGATGACTTACCTCCGGCTCTTTTTAAAGATGGTGGTGACTTTTTGACTAAGGAATTTACGACGTTGTTTACAAAGGTCTGGGTGCTAGAGAGTGTACCAACGTCATGGAATGAGTCGATAGTTGTCCCTATCTTTAAAAAGGGTTCACTTCGTTCCTGTAACAACTATCGGGGGATAAGTCTACTTCCGATTGCGTCTAAGCTATTGGCTTCTGTCATACTTCGTAGGTTGTTCAAAACCCGAGAAAGATTGACTCGCGAGGAGCAGGCTGGGTTTCGTTCTGGTCGAGGATGTATTGATCATATCTTCACCCTCCGTCAAATGTTAGAACACCGCCATACTTATCAAAGGCCAACAATCGTAGTGTTTCTTGACATCAGGGCTGCCTTCGATTCGTTGAACAGAACTGTTCTCTGGGATTGTCTATTGAAGAAGGGTGTGCCTGAGAAGTTTATTAACATCCTAAAAGCCCTATATACAAACACCTCAGGGAGAGTGAGGGCATACAACCACCTTTCTCCATTGTTTCATTCGAGTAGTGGGGTTAGGCAGGGTTGCCCAATCTCACCATTCCTCTTCAACTTTGCCATCGATGACATTCTGGAAACAGCTCTGATGAATGTAAGTAATGGTGGTGTGGATCTGTTGCCTGGAGAAAGACTTCTCGACCTTGAGTATGCGGACAATATTGTCTTACTGTGCGATAATGCCCAAGGCATGCAATCCGCACTTAATCAGTTGGCAATCAATGTCCGTAGGTATGGTATGTGCTTTGCACCTTCGAAGTGCAAAGTACTTCTACAAGACTGGGAGGATTCTAATCCTGTACTCACCCTGGACGGTGAGCAGATAGACGTAGTCGAGAAGTTCGTGTATCTGGGTAGCTGCATAAGTGCTGGTGGGGGTGTGAGTGATGAGATCAATGCACGTATAGTGAAAGCCAGAGCGGCTTATGCCAATCTGGGCCATCTTTGGCGCCTTCGTGATGTTAGTCTGGCTGTAAAAGGTCGGATCTACAACGCGTCGGTGAGAGCAGTTTTGCTCTATGCTTGTGAAACCTGGCCTCTCCGAGTTGAGGACGTTAGACGACTCTCTGTGTTCGATCATCGCTGTCTCCGAAGGATTGCTGACATCAGTGGCAACACCATGTTAGTAATGCAGAGGTTCGGCATCGTGTGTTCGGGCACAGAGATGATAATTCAATTGGTGTCACCATCTTGAAACACCGACTCCGGAGGCTTGGACATGTTCTACGAATGTCGTCCCAGAGAATTCCACGTCGTGCATTATTTGCCGACTCTGGGACTGGTTGGAAGAAGCGGAGAGAGGTGGTCAGTGCATGACATGGTGTCGTGGCATGAAAGAAAGCTGCAAAGGACTGGCTTGTGTTGGTCCTTCACGACTCCCTGGTTGGGGTCTGAGAGATGGTGCTACACAGTGGCTAGAGACGTTATCAGATATGGCTCAGAATAGAAGCCAGTGGCGATCCTGCTGTAACCTTCTTTTACTTTCTTCATAAAAAGTGGTTCTGTCTCTCTTACCTGAAAGATTTCTTCCGATTGTACCTTTGCGTTCCCTGATTACTAGCACATTACCTTACACCAATCTCTTCGTTATTATTCTCTCTTTTTTGTTGTTGCGCTCCTTAGCTTTTTTTTCTTCTTTCTTTGTATTCCTCTCGAATTTTCATTGTTTTGTGTGGCGCATATATATTGGCGCTCTCTTGTACCAATATTCATGTGTCCAAATAAATAAATAAATGGTGGTCTAGCTTCAATTGACTCATGATTTCAACTATTGAGAAAAAAAATTGACTGGATAATGTATTTTTCTAGCTACTAGGAATAATTGATAGTTAGAAAATATTCCCATCGTCCAGTATCACTGATAGGGTAGATATTTGCATCACTTTCAAGTTAATTAAACTTCATCGATCATAACTTCCTATTAAAATTTTGCCAGTTGATTTTAAAGTTAATCATTAGTGAGTAAACAACTTTTTCTGTTAATTTGTCAAACTATCAGAATTCATTATTCATAGTTTTAACCATGAAAAATCAGGGAGAACATTAATATTTGTACGATAAAAGCAAAAAAGTGATGACAAACGAGCATTTTAGTCACCTTCAAAAGAAAAAACAGGTCAACTACTTATTGACTAGATACACTCATTCATATACAGATTTTATTTTTTTGAGTCAGCTCAGAGAACAAAACTCTACCAAAATCATCCACTTGAGCTACAAATCTTCACCATCTCACGTAAATGAATATCATACATAGATTGAAATATTGGGAATAAAAATATCGGTTTTACACTAGAATGTTAAAATGACTGGATATCACACAAATATCGTATTGGATTACCAGTGAAATAAATAATGTGCTAAATTAATATTACACATTAATCAAACAATAATTTCGCATTTTATTCCCATACTAATATATATGAAGTGAGAGATAACTGTTTGTGGTAATATTGATTGTATCATCATGAAGTATAACACTTTGACTGTGGATAATTTGCCGATTCAATTAGGATATAACCTAAAGATAGTTGACGGGGGTGTGAAAACTGATAGGATGTTAGATGTATGTTTCATTATAATCGTATTTCAAATACCTAAATAATTTACATTGATGACCTTACACGAGGTCGCAATAGCTCATCAAAAATTCACATCAATTGGAAATCGTTATGGGTTTACCATTATAAAGCTATGGGATGTGATTTGACAGAGTTGGAGTGAGCAGTCTTGACCTTTGGCTACTGATCAAGTTGCATCAGTGAATTGTGAAAGCATATGGGTAAAACTGAATGAGGTTTAAGATAGATCACAAATGACCTAAATCTGATAAGTTAGAATCACTTTCAATTAGTTAACCAGTTCACAGGGGGTACTGTACCTTCTAACGTATTTTAACAGTTGAATTTACGAGTTGATTTAAGCTAGACCACCATTGAAAACCTGGAAGGTCTGAATGGATGTTTCATCCTAGTATGGGACTACTCAGCACGATCCCACACGCGAGATTCGAACCCCGCACCTACGGTCTCTCGCGCGAACACTTAACCTCTAGACCACTGAACTGGCATCCAACGGCTCAAATGTTTAACTCCAATCGGTCCACGATCTTGAGATACCGTTTAAAATTTTGAATTTTATCTATGCTAAATGTGTTACTACTCGTGAGTAGCACGTTCTAATTATGCATAAAAAGTATGCATAAAAAATCTAAAGCTATGAGATTGCTGATAGTAAATAAAACGTGAAGATCTGTTCACAATTATTAGAAATATTTAACTTCTGTATACCTGCATGTTACGGCTGAAGATATTATTTATTTTGCACAATTGAATTATGTTAAACGGCTTAAAAAAAGTGACCACATGACTGTAGGTGAAGTACGTAGTCTGTCGATAATCATACTTTTAGATTGTATAACTGAAAACTGAACCACAACTCATTAGTTAAGATCAAAGTTGATAAATAAAAGTGATATGTAAAACTGATTTGATTTTTTGAAATGAATCAGTTTAATTACTTCACTGATGAGTGAAGTGGATATCACTAATCTGTCTTTTCGAGTCGTTATCAATATGAACGATATGTAGTCAGTAGTGGTGATTGATCAATCGTGTGATGTAGCCAGTGGGATAGACATTAGCATTTAGTAGTATTAAGCATAAATAATCACAAAATCTTGGTGAAGAAATGTTTATCAATCTAATTATAGTTTTGAAAATGGTAATAATATTTCATACATTGTACTTTATTTATTAATTTATAGAAATTTAGAAGACTCATACACAGTAATTAACATCATCATAATCATTATTATCAATATTGTTAAGTATAAATGTTGTATTTTCCTACTGGAAGCATACTCTGCCCAATTCCAAACCAAGAATTTGTTGTGAATCAATAGCATTTGGTAAAATTATATCACGTAATGGTAAACGATGCGGTCGTGTATTCACTTCAATTGTTATCTTTCCAAATGTAGATTTTGTTGACTTTCGAATTAGTAATTGTTTTTTTTCAAAAAGAAAGGAAAAATAACTATGGTAACAAACGGAATATTGTAATAATATGTTTATAAAAAAGAATAGGTTAGATTAATTATATTTTAATTCAATGAACAATTACAAACATTGTGATGACTTGACAGTCGGTGAATTACACGATTACAGATACATTTGTCCTACGGTTTTAATTGGTAACCAGGTTTAAATGACTAAACGTTTTTATAACACAAATATAGAGTTCGGTGTCATTTAGAATAAACATTTAGTCCATGTCAAACATGACGTATAAAGTGTATGTTTGTCTTTATTAGTAGCTAATCACAGTTTAAATTCTTCTGGATACATTAGTGAACGACTGTTACATCTTACTGTGTAGAAATGTTGTTTAGTATACTCTCGGGATTGAATCTAAGACCCTCGGTACACGGAATGGCTGATTAATCTTAAAAATAATGAATTGGAATCATATTTAAATTATATTTTTTCATGAATATTATTGTGGTGAAACTGCTGATTGATGATTTTTAAAATAATGAAAGTCTAGATGACCATGTAATGATGAATAAAAGCTTACTTAAATAAAATGATCTTCAAGATTTACTTAAGTTAAAGAATGTAAATCATTTGACTTTGTACAATTTAGTGGCCCTGTAATGGTATGCTTGGCATTGAACATACGAATTCTGTAAGTTCAGTTTTATATGATATTATATTTATCCCAAAATTGAGTGGAGTAAGGTAGTTCATGAGGAAAATTACCTGTATACATCAAGGATTAACTTTGGTCATTAATAACTAGAAAGGATTAAACAGCTTTTTCGTCCTAGTACTGAGTTCCTCAGCAGTGCTTATCTAAAATCACACCAAGGATAAAGTCCAGAGCCTTCATATGTTATGGAGAAGGCTGAGCCAATAGAACTACCAAGATACCATCTAGTGGTTTTAACTTATAACTCTAGTCGGTTTTTGATATTGTATGTCATCATTTACTGCCATTGATGATATCCATCTCACTTTTAACATCATCGAATTACACTGGCCATAACTACTGTCTCATAATATGATAAAACAACTGTCCCTTACTTACTTGCGGCTGTTTCTCCTCGTGAAGGAGCATAAGCCGCCCATTAACACTCACCATCCAACCCTGACCTGAGCAATCCTTTCCAGTTGGTATTCATCTTTTTCATATCTCATTCTATTTCCCGACGTAATGTGTTCTTTGGCCTTCCTCTTTTCCGCTTCCCTCCAGAATTCCAAGTTACGGCTTGTTTCGTGATGCAGTTTGATGATTTGCGTAATGTATGTCCTATCCATTTCCATCGTCGTTTCCTAATTTCCTCTTCATCTGGAAGCTGGTTTGTTCTCTCCCAAAGAAGGCTGTTGCTGATGATATCCAGCCAATGGATGTTGAGTATCTTACGTAGACAACCATTTATAAATACTTGTACGTTCTTGAAGGTTGTTGTTGTAGTTCTCCAAATTTAAGCTCCATACCGTAGAACTGACTGTCTTGACGTTCATATTGAAGATTGTGACTTTGATATTGGTTGAAAGTTGTTTTTAGTTCCATATGTTGTTCAATTGTAGGAATGCGACCCTTGCTTTGCCAATCCTCGCCTTTACGTCTGCATCTGAACCTCCTTGTTTGTCGATGATGCTTCCCAGGTATGTGATGGATTCTACAACTGTCCCAGTTCTTGTTAATTCTTAATTATTCCTTGACCAAATTTTATCCATAGTGTACACTATCTTCAAATAAATCAACAATGTCCACAAATAATAGTATGAATAATAATTACCTGACAACCGTTTTCCAGTAAATTATAACGAAGAATCGCTCCATTTTGTGTTAATTCCTTATTATTGTTTGTAAATAAACGTGGCAGATTTTCATCACTGAAAATAATCTTATTGCATACCAATGTTAATTGTTGATTAGCTTTCGATGATAACAGTTGCAAAAAGTTGATTTGATTCATTTCCATATTATAGGTAAACTAAAATATACGAAATAAAGGTGATTAACAAAAGAGAACAACTTGTTGTAGTTCATTATGAATTGATACAATAATGCTTAAATTAATATTTTAAGTAAATTAATAAAATGTATTTTGTATTGCTTGTTTGAATCTTCTCGTTGATGTTTAAGACTGCGATTGATTAGTCTGTTATTGGTATATGTGCATCCTGTGTGGACTGTCTTGATATTGTCATAAGTCTTAAGCACTATAGGCTGAGATGATGATGGCTAGCAGAGGAATCCAGGACGAACGTTTCTTCATATTTGGGACTCGTCAGCTGGATGTACCTACATTCCAGAGTTGGTGGACGGTACTGGAGTCGAGTTGCGGAGTGGACGTCAACTCTGCGATGCAGATAAATCCAGCTGACAGGCCCCGAGTAGGACGAGATGCTCATCCTGGACTCCACTTCTAGCCACCATCCATCTTTGCTCATGATCAATAAAAGCTTTTTATGTATAAAAACGGGTAAAAGGAGCTTATCGGATAAGACTTTGTCATTTATATAATATCAATATCATTTCTGAAATTGATGTGGTGGAAAAAAAGTAAGCTTGATAACTAGATCTTCACTTGATAGGTATGTGAATGACTTACGGAACCCATAGCTAACCAACCACTGACGATTTTTATGAGCTTTAAATATTTACTTTGTATCAAATCTATTTTTTATAAAGTTGTATCATTTTAGTTACACAAAATTGCTCATATTTTGCGAACAAGTTATTCTGTCAATTGACGACTGCTCGTTGGACCAAGGGAAAAGATGAACTGACTCAGTAAATTCAATAGCCGTCACTCGATCGCATTGTTATATTCAGTCAAGTGACCGGTCAAGTAATCTGCCCAATTTATATCAATTTTTCCCACTTTTTAACAGACGCATTGCAAAATCTGGGTTGATAGCTGCTAGTCATATTTGGAATAATTTGAAAAGCTTACTTCAATCTGAAGTTTGCACGGATGATGCCTTCTAGAAAGTCGATGAAAACTTCACGGTTAGATCACCCAGCTCAGAGAAGGAAAATAAACCAAAAGCACTTCATCTAATAAACTCCAGCCTATGGAGTTTGATATTCTACTGATCTATGACAAGGAGGAAGTTGGTGGTTAGTTTATGTTGGCAGATATAGACTTTATGAAATTGATCTATTTCATCTCAGATGAAAAATGTATGTTAAAATATTTTGGTAAAAATATGTGGATTATTGAGAAAAGCCAATAAGCAGACAATCCAATTTAGTCGAAGTTAAATGACATTACCAGTATATAACATAGCTTGGTGGAAGGTTACTTACACTAAAAACCATATTTCAGGAATCGGGAGAATCTTTCTGCTAAAATAAGGATCAGATAACAGGAAGTTTTTTATTATTGATAATATTTATTTAATCCTCAGTGTTGATGGAATTCTATTAACCTAGTTGATATTGGAACACTAATGCATGTGATTTGATATCGCACAACCATTATGTTTTGATATCAGATGGTCAAAGATGATCGTTAAAATGCTCTGTCTGATCTAGGTTTTCGGTCTTAATTTCATTGATAGAATTCGACTACTTCGAAAGACTAGAGGAACATAACATTGATTACTACTCAGTAATTAATAAATATAGAAGGATAAAAACTGGTTTTTAACTGCAATTAATTAATAGTTTTATATCAGATACAACAACCTTTTGTACACAGTTTAAACCAAATTAAAGTAATGATGGTTCCCAAAAGTTTCTTAACTGATGTAAATCATTTTCTAGTCAAACTAGTATTCGTAGGTCATTTGCCCAGAGGTGTTGAGCTTCAAGATGAATCTTTCAAGTTGTGAATGAAGAGTTACAAATACTGAGTTCAGTCATTAAGAGAATAAAGCATTTACTAATGATAATAACATTGAAAAACTATAACAGTAATCTAAAGGCAACGGACTTACTACAATACCTAAAAATCCTGGGTCCGATACTCATCGGCATCGTGGATGCAACCTGATAAGGAGTTCCAGGTTAAGTTAAAACTGATATGTGTTTGGTCTTCAATTACTCGTTACTCATGGAGGTGATGCTATTCCATTATGAATTAATCTTTCGTTCATATACCATCTAGTTAAACTCATAGTCAAATGATTGGTGAAGTGATATTACAGATCAACTATAAAACTTATATCCTAATTTTAAACCAATATGGAGATAAATGAATGAAACTGAAAAGGAGGTTTGTTTGATGACTGTTTCATGTCTTTGTAGTTTAGATCATAAACTAACCTTAGATAGACAATCATTTGAAAACAGAAAGCATTAGAGAGATGCTTCATCCTGGTAGGGGATAAAAGCTAAAACTTTCAGAGCCTAACATTTCGATAATTGAACTGACATCTGATGTAGGTGTCATTACCAAGGTTTGATTTGATAATTTATGACATCTGATGGTTTACATTTACAACTTCAATCAGTTCATGATGCAACTCAAGGACTATTTAATGTCATTTCTGGACAGCTACCTCACAATAGAAATGTTTAAAGTCCCCTAGTTAAAGCTTCATGCTAGGGCTCTGAGGACTAACTTTCAGAATTAAGTACTGCTGAGCACATATTTTTATTAGTCACCGTTTAAAAACATTATTGTCTTTCTTACCTGTTTTTCGTCATATAACTGACTAAACCAAATATCTTGTTGATCAGAATATTTCTTTTTGTATGTATCGGTATTATTGTTTTGTTGTTGTTGTTGATAGGAAGAAGTTAAAGGCGAGAAACACGTTTCACCCGAGCTCAATCGACAGAATACCTTAACAGCATCTTTATTTGAGCCTCCATTAGGATCAATCCAATATTCACCTTGGAATGAAGAAGAAACGGGATAGAAGAAAACAAAACAATGCAAAGTGGGCGAAGTGAAGATTTAGCGTAGAGAAACCTCAACAGACTTTGGTTGCTATGCTGTGAACGACCTCTAAGGTGGAGCCAACCAGTTTATGTCTTAGTACGAAATTACAGAACGTTTTCGTAAAATATGAAAACCATACATTAAATACTCTATTTCCATCAGTCGTCTCTGACAAACGTCATCGTTCTTTCATTCCTATTGTTATTACAATTAATCCTTGTTTGCATTCCTGTTCTCTTCAATTTGATCTTCTCAACCTTCTACTACCAGCCATTTCACTTCTGGCTGTTGTTACATTTTACTTATATCTGTCAATATAAGTGGCATACACCACAGTTGCCTTGAGAGAGAAGAGTGGAAAGTAAGTTATTGGATTCAGAGAATAATTTTGTTTACTTTTCACCTGTATTCATTTAATATTTTATTTGTGCTCTTTTTGGTGAAATTTTAAACTATTCCCTTATTGATATTCAGGACTAGGATAACTCAAACCTTTACTAATAATGATAAAAATATCATAACCATTGAATAACTTAATGTGAATTCAGTAAGTTAGTGGATAGTGCGTCGGAATTGAAGGTAATTAGCACTAGGTTTGAGTCTGTGCATGAACATCAACACTGGAATGAATGTACATCCACCTGAGGAGTTCCAAATAGGATAAAAATGCATCCATAACCAATCTATTCTAAAAACTTGACAAAGTTACTATACCAAGGTAATCCTTTTAGGGTGAAAATATTTAACGACAAAGAGTAATCACAATTCAGTCCTTAATATCAGTAACACGGTTTGTTTCGATTTAGTTATAACAAAAACTGGAAACATCTTTAAATATTTCATGTTCAATCTGCCTTGATATAATTTATGATTTATGATATAAATGTGAACCCTTATTGGTGAAAGAATAGAGACATTTTTTGATTCAATTAATAACTAGAATGTTGGTCTAAGATGAGTGTTGAAATATGGATTATTTCTCAAAATTGTTCAGTTTTTCAAGTTCGAACCATGCGCGTAACATTTATTCTGGAGCTGTATGATTCACATCCTTAATAACTGATTCTCAATGATAAACTGAAAGATTCAACAAATATTCAGGGTTTTTCCTCACGTTATATTCAACTGGAGTAAACAATGAACCATTTTCTTTCTTTAGTCTTGGCAGTAGTTGGGAGCGGGTTCACGTATCATTAAGGGTATAGTAAAATTATGGTTGAAGCGTATTTGTATTGGGGTCGTTTATGGGGTTAATTCTAACATTCACTATTGTGTTCATATTTAGATTTGAATAGTTATAGACAGGTTATAACAAGGAGTTCGGACACCAGTTATCTATTTAAAGATATAATTTGAATCAACATTTCACTCACATCCTGTTCAGTGAAACTATGACATACAAAGGATTATACACTATTCTGATTTAAAGGCACTGTATTCTCTGAGTGCCGACAATTTAATTTCAAAGCTTTTATTCCCGTTCCGGAAAACACTAGTCTGATAACTATCATTTAGATATTATAGCAGAGTACTGAGTAACGAACTCTGCAGTTAGTATCTGTTCTTCATGATCAGTCGGTGGACCAGTTCTTAAAGTTAGGCAATTTAATAAATAGAATTTGCTTACCATCTGGTAATCTTGGATGTGTACGCGATAAGTAATTACATGATCTTGCTGGAAAACTGCGTGTACCATTGGGCATTTCTAAAGTGATGCCTTTTTGATCTCCATACATCTTTCCATAACTCATAGCTGGAGGCCCAGGAGGTCCAGGTGGTCCTTCACTTCCCATATGTCCGGGAGGTCCCCTTGGTCCATCTCTTCCAATAGGTCCAGGTCCACCAGGAGGACCTGGTTCGCCAACGAATCCAGCCTCACCTTGAGGTCCTGGGGCACCGACAGGTCCGACTTCTCCCGGTAAGCCAGAAAGTCCACGATATCCTCGAAGTCCTGGTTGACCAGGTTGTCCAGCTATGCCAGGAAGACCAGGGTCACCTGGAGGGCCTGTCCAACCTTTGTGGCCCTGTGGTCCAGACTTCCCTTGCCTTCCTGGGGATCCATCTTTTCCAGGTCGTCCAGGAAGTCCAGGTTGTCCATCTTCGCCTTTTCCCCCTGGCGCACCATCTACACCAGGATCACCTACTTCACCTCTGGGTCCACTTGGTCCGTCTGGTCCTGGTATTCCTAAAGGACCACTAGGCCCCGGTGGGCCTGGTTCTCCTCCAGGACCTGGTGGACCCTGAAGTCCGCGTTCTCCAGGAAGACCTTGTTGTCCTGGGGACCCAGCTTCTCCCACTGGCCCTACACCGCCTACTTCTCCATCTGTCCCTGGTGGCCCAGGTGGTCCAACAGGACCAGACGGTCCTTCTGGTCCTTCTTTTCCTGCAGGTCCTATCTTCCCTTGTGGTCCTGGGACTCCCATAACCCCAGCTGATCCTCTTGCCCCTGGTCTTCCAGGAGCACCCATTTTCCCCTAAAAGAGGATGAGAAGGAACAGTAGCCAAAGATGAAGAATATAACGAATTCATTTAAATTAAACTCAATTGTATATACTAATGATAATTATTATTTGCGTTCTGCTAAGTTTCCTGATTTTTGTTAGAAACGTAATGTAGACGTTTCGAGAACGTTAGATTTTCAAGGTTTTAATTATTCATCTGTTGTATTATGTTAAAATAAAAACAAATCTTAGCGTTCTAGACAGGACTATCAAAAATTGCATCGCCCTTGAGCAATGTTTTGACCTTAAACGATCAATCGGAACAGAGCTATTTGCGTGTATATTCATTTGAAAATGTATATGAGACATAATGGTTTATACAAAAGTTTACATGATTTAAAAATGTAACTAGTTCTTCCATAGGTTCAGTCTTCCAGGGCTTATATAGATATATAATCCTTTATTCTTCCCTGGTACACTTTCAGGATGTGTTTGGTAATGACTTAGACACTTGGGCCAATGAAGTGACTACGATGCATTATCATATATTATTTATGAATAGTCTATGAATTCAGTTTAATCTATTACTGGTCTTCCGATGTATTAGATTATAATCCAGTGAAATAGTATTGTCATGGTTCGCTTAAATGTCAGTTTAGTTATGACGAAAGAAAAAAAAACACTTGTTTGTTATTGATGTCCGACTATGAGAGTAATCACATAGAAGTGACATTAGTTTCTGTCTTTTATTAAAAACGGCACTATAACGTCATCAATCTGCTGAACACAAATGAAGCTTCTAAAGGCCTCTTCTTAGATTATCAAATTTATTTCCTGAATCAAGATAATTTATAATATTGTCGTTCGGTAAAATCATTTACATTATTATACGAATAATCAATGGGCATTTGCATAATTGCTGATAAATGGTGTTCTTCAATATTTTTACCATAATTCACCCTAACAAAGTTATAAACCAAAGAGACGAATTAACAAGTTTACACAAATTATTACCTGAAGTCCAGGAAGTCCATCTTTTCCTTGAGTTCCTCTTGGACCAGCTTGACCTCTCGGACCAGTTGGTCCTTCATCACCAGGTGGACCTTTAGTGCCATCAACTCCTGGAGGCCCAGCAGCACCACGTGCTCCTTGTGCACCTGGATTGCCAGGAGCTCCTTGGGCACCAGCAGTTCCGTTAATACCATCTATTCCAGGTAGGCCGGGTTCACCAGAAGGGCCAGGAATTCCCGATGGTCCTGGTGGACCAGCATATCCAGCATCTCCAGGTTTTCCAGGTGGTCCTTGGGCTCCAACAGCTCCAGACTGACCAGGTTTACCTGATTTTCCTGGTCGGCCAGGTGCTCCATCAATTCCATCTTTTCCACGTGGACCATCAGGACCGGGTGGACCGTCTTCACCTGGTACTCCTGCTTCTCCAATAGGTCCCGGATCACCAGGAGCTCCTGATATTTTGTAAAAAAATTCGAAATGGTGTATAAGTGTCAAGAAAAAATAGTCAATTTAAAGTATTCAGTATATGTTCAAGCAAAACTTAACTGTAATAGTGTCATAAGTCTGAAATGTTTTTTTCTTAGTTTTTAATGACTAATTTAGCTGGTGGCAAGAAGCTCCGAATACACACTTACATTAATATTTCGTAAAAGATTGAGGATCAGTATGTAGCTGTAACACTTCAAACGATTTATCACCCCTTTATCCAGCATTTTCAATGGCTGATCATGAGTATATTTATGAGGATGCCAATCAGGAAGTCCGTAACTACCACTCTGGTTTAGATCATCAATTAGTGACTATATGAACAAATACTATATCTCGACCTGTCAATTTTCGACTTTTTTCAACCTACTCTTCGTTACCCAACACTTAATGGACTGCTCTCTCTGAATTTCAATATTTCTGTTATTAATATCTACTGTTTATCTTGGTGTTATATAAAGTCTATACAAAAGCAGTCTAAAATAAATTTGCAATGAACTACTAATTTTGTAATTCACACAGTAGATTGATTTTCGTCAGATAAACATTAAAATCGATAAGCATTTGATAGCTGTTAACCCTAGTATGGGACTCCTTAGTGCTGCCTATTCCCGATCACACAAAAAAACACATCCAAGACTTCCAGGTCTTGTACTTAATCTCTAAACCATTAAGTTGGCGTCCAACGGTTGACATTCTGTATTCCAACTGATTTACGAAGTAGTGAAACCATTTCTTTGTACCATCAGTGATTAACCGCCTCGTACCAGACGTGATTGAAGTTCACTCGCCATGGCCTGTCACTCGAATTACAAGAGTTACCTCTTTTAATTGTCTAGTAAGTTCCCCTTTGAATTCATAACCATCTGAGTTCGGATGATTTGTTATTAATCTTCTTGGAACTTTGAAACAATGTATTTTTCCATTTATTACTATCAATGATGCGTTTTGTCGTCAAGTAATTAAAACAACTGTTTTATGTATCAGTTAAGCCAATTTATTAATGACTAAACAGTTGACCTAATAGGAAAAACTGCAAAGAGGTGAATTTAAAAAGGAACCGATGATGTCAAATAACCAATAATAATAATAATAATAATAATAATAATAATAATAATAATAATAATAATAATAACAATAACAATAACAATAACAATAACAATAACAATAACAATAATAATAATAATAATAATAATAATAATAATAATAGTAGTAGTAGTAGTAATAGTAATAATAGTAATAATAATAATAGTAATGGTTCAGTGTTCTATGATGATAATAATTGTCATGATTGTTATTATTATAATTATAATAAAACACCTAGATTTATGTTTCAACATTAAAAAAGTAGCTATCGATTAATTTTATTAATCTTTACCTGGTATTCCTGGTCTTCCACGTGGTCCAGGATATCCTGGTAAACCCTTTGCTCCTTGTGGACCGACAACTTTACCATTATCATAACCTTGAACTTGAATTGGTCCTCTTGGACCTGGTTCACCTGGTGGTCCTGGTTCACCAGGTGCACTGTCTTTTCCAGGTGGTCCATCTTCTCCAGGTGGACCACGTGGACCTTTTGTTCCTCTTAAACCCATTTGACCCGAACCACCTCGAACTCCTGGTGGACCCTATTTTGTGCGGAAGGAATGTGTGTGTGAGAGACAGTGAAAACGGAAAAGTAAGAGTAAGTTTACACGATCTTTTCAATAAACATAAGAATAACTAATCACTTTCAGATCTTTGCAGGAACATGAGAAAATACTCAGGTAATTGATGAAACATTGAGGAATGACTATGGAAATAACTTATTGAAGAAAACGTTTCAGGGAAGACCATTAGGATGATGTATCAAGACTGTGACTGAATAAGTGTTTCTGACAGGTCATTCTATAATTCTCTTCTATAACAATGATTATGTCGGCCCCGAAAATTTGAAATGATCTACCAGGAATATGTAAAGACAAACTATTATGAAGTGGCAAAGCAGCTGAAGAGCCTGAAATTTTGAAAGTTTCTTGGAATGTTTTAAACAATGAAATTGGATAAAGAACAAGTAAATTGTCACAAACAAGGGAGATTTTGAAGAGATAAAAAAATCTGTTTTAACAAAACATCCCTTTGAAGACGATCTATTTACGGATCTTATTTATTTAGAAATAAGACTGTAGAATAAATTAATGACAGTATAACTAACAATTCAATGAATCTTAATATCGATTTTTTGAATACTGATTTACAACTTCAGCTAAATTGAAAAAAGAAGCAAATCCTTTTTCCGATGGTTGAGTGAATAAATCAAAGATGAATGAACTAAGGCAATAATTCAAAAAATATAAAGGGAGTAACAAACTATTGTTGGGAAAATTACTTTTGGTTAAGGGCTTAAATGAAAGTTGAACTATGTATCTGTGTCGTAGTAGTGTGGTGTGTGCTACTTATATTGACATAAGTAGTATATGATGTTAGTCGTGAACAGAAGGTCTGGCAGCAGAGAGACAAGAGGATCGAACAGTAAAGAATGGAAACAGGATGCAGTTTGTATGAAAGTGCAAGGACAATGAATTCTGAGTCATTTTGAGACAATTGGTGGACATTTTGCAAATTAAGCATTAACTTTATGATTGGCAGATTTTATTCACAATTCCTGTATGCTTGTGTTAAGAAGATTCGGTTATCTCTACTGGTGTTCTTGTTCGCCACCATAGTAGTGGTGAGGTCTGATTTAGCAGACAGAAACAAAACTACGAAACTAAAATAAAGTAGTAAACGATGCGAAACAGTTTATTTTGAAAAGAAGGTAGTAATTTAATCATCGTGACCACAAACAGTACCTGTTGAACACAAGTGGAACCAGATGGACAAGGTTATACTATTTGTAGGATGATGATTGTCAGGCTCATATCTTTTATTAAAACTTATTTACTAGGTATAAGTTCGCATTCTTGATTGAAAATCACATTCCAAATGTGTAAGTATTAATATTAGCCAGTTTTCCAGACCAAAATATGTGAGGAGCGGAGGGTTATGAAACCCCATAGTGAAAGTCGAGATTTTCCGGAAGCCATCAGGCCAATGGGCTTTCTTAAAAAATCAGGCAGTCATTTATTTAAGTGCTCGGAATGTCCAAACAATGTAGGAGAGCTGGAAGACCATTCAAATAGAAAGTGAAAATGAGGAGTTACAACCTGACGGTGCATCGAATCTCACTGGACGCAACCTGAGCAGGAAAGATTAACTTGAAGATAGATATTACTGTATTCTGGCCACAAAGGAGGAAACGTAAGAGCTAGCATGATACGTTTAGACGTGATCTATTATGTCACATTTTCAGCCAGTCGGCAATAAATTGTACAGTCAATGTTCAATCTTACTGGTGGATGACTATAGCATGGTAAATAATTTTGACTTCATTGGTCATAGGTTATAAGAAGAACTTTGAGAATTCATTTTAACTACTGATGGAGATTAGCTTTAAAGTTCATAAAAATATCTTGATATAATATAATTCAGTCAATCTGATATCACGTTCTATCAAACACTTTACCTACAAGAAAAACAAATAAGACGATAATGAACAGAAGTAGTAATGTATTTAATAGTAAGCCGAGACCATTAATCTAATTACCTAGAAGATGAGGAGAGATATCTTATATGGGCTATGACGTGAAATGGCTTGAATGTTCAACAGAGAAACTTTGGTTAGTAGTGTCTTCCAATATTATTATCGTGAAGTAACTACAAAGTTATTCATTTTGGAAAATTATTTGTCACTACACACATTTTATGTACTAAACAGCCAATAAACACGGAATATGGTGGAAAAACTTAAATTGTAGCAGTTTGTAAGTACTCCAATTCGCCATTTGATCAACTGATTACGGAAAGTTAGTTAAAGTAAAATAATACACCTTGATAATCATTTATTTTGCTATGTAACAATTACAGTAAGGAATACATATTATTTGGAGTTATGATATACAAAAACTAATTCACTGAAACTGCCAATCAACCAATAATTCATGTTACGACATTTAAGGACTTACAGCTGGTCCAGTACGTCCAGGTATGCCTTGTGAACCAACTTCACCTTTGGGACCTTGTACACCGGGATAACCTTGTTCACCATCTTCACCAGCAGCACCACGTTCACCAATTGGGCCTGGTAGACCAACTTGGCCTTGAGTTCCTGGCTTTCCATCTGTGCCTTGTTTTCCATCTCTTCCAGTTGGACCTTTACCACCTGGTTGGCCTGGTTGTCCAATAGGACCAGGTTGACCTGGTGGTCCAATCGGACCAGGTGGACCTCTATCTCCGATACCGCCAATACTTCCAGGACTACCAGCAACTCCAACTTTCCCACGACGCCCACGAGCACCAGTTGCACCACGACTACCTTGTGGACCTGAAGGACCTGGATCACCTGGTTCACCAGATGAGCCTCGACCACCACGTACACCCTTTTTAAAAAGGGAAAATAGGATAGATTTACATGATTTTTGGATCGAAATAGCTGATGAGCACAACCAGATTATTTCTCTCTCAATAGACCATGCCTTTACACAAAACCTTACAAAATATACAGTACAGACGAAATGTTCTTTCTCATTTTTCTAACTGTTTTTCTTCCTTGACTCTAGTTCAGTGTTTTACGATTCGATTTATTCGATTATAAATTTATTCGTGTTCATCCAAATCATCCATCGTCATTATTATTTATCACTAAGAATTAACTAATTTAGAAAAGAATGTATTATGTTGAATATCAACTAAATAGTTAAGTGTTTCAATGCATAATAAAAAACTTAATAATCCCTCTTATAAACAGTGTGGATTTTGACTAGCAAAGGAATTCAGAACACACATTTCCCCTTATCTGGAAATCATCAGCCAGATGTATCTGAGCCCCAATATTACCGTTCACACTAAAACCTAGACTCACTAACTTGCATCTCAAACAGTAATGCGTTATTTCCTTAGCTACCGAACCCAGATAGACACTAATTTGCTAAACCAGTATCGTGTACATATTATTATTATTATTATTATTATTATTATTATTATTATTATTATTATTATTATTATTATTATTAGAGAGGGTATTAATCATCCTCTTATTGATGCTAATGACCGAAGTTTTACTAAATAAGACTGTTCAAAGTTCAGTTCTGCATATCGACAATCAAATAGCCCAAACCCTTCCAAATAATAATGTTTTTATGATACTGTATGAAGGTAAAGAAACAGAGAGGGCAGCTTAAAGATGCATTCCAAGTGAAGACCGGTGTCAGATAAAACTGCTTACTCTCGTCCTTCATCTTTTTTCTAGTTGTTGACTCTATTGTGAAGACCACATCTCAGGGGGTGCAAAGAATACAGTGAACAGATCGGAAGCAGCTATACTATTCAGATTTTGCAGATAACGTGGCTCTTCTATCCCATACACACCAACAAATGCAAGTGAATACAGCTAGCGTAACAGCAACCTCTGAAACAGTAGGCCTCAACGTTTACTAGGAGAAAATACAACACAGAGAGCACCAACCAAATCAAACTTGATGGAGAACCTCTTGTAGACGTGGGATGTGATGAATAATTTCAAATTAGTGCGAATCAATCGTCTAACAATTTTTAATTTCAAAAAGCTCTCTTATTCATATCATATTGATAGAGCCGCTTTGATGAATATAGTAGTGTTTCTCACTGGGTAATCTAGTGACCAATCGATGCAGATATTTAAGTTATACAGGAGGTCATCCACACTCCAGCAGCTCATTAGTAAAACTTTAGACTATTAAATTGAGTAACGAGGGTTCAAACTTTACAGGGACCATCAGCTCTCACAAGACTGAAGGCAGTCTTTACTGGCAAGAACCATTTAGCAGAAAAAGCAGTTAGAATAAGGTTTCTAGACTACATCCCTCAACCACCTAACATTTAAGTGACTGTATGTCGTCATTCTGTTTTATGGCAGTATAAAAATATATGAAATTTTCAATACTGGATCGTAAATTTTGCACATACCGATATATTTTTTTCAGTAGTTAATATCATCTGTCAAACTTTATGAATCATAACTAGTTATGGAACTAAGAAGTATTTCATATTGATTGGTTAGAATCAGATAATAGAACATTTAAACTTTTGCGAGTCAAATTATTGAAATAATCAGTAATGAGTTCAGATGTAAATGTTGCTCATTATTTTCATTTATCTAATTTTGTAAAACGTTTCATAAATGCCTTCTCTACATGATGTCTTAATATTACATCAGGTAACTGCATTGTTAATTAACTTCAAGGAATGTAAACGTATGAACGACATTTTGAAAGTTGAATCAAACTCTCTATCGTACTGTATTTTAACTGTTGGTTTCTAAGTTGCTAGGCCCTGTCATACAAGTCTATCAATGATAGAGTGAGCATACATCAAAGTGAGTTATATTCTATGATGTAATATGTGAAAAGTATTTCTTACCGGTGGTCCAGATGGGCCAGGTGGTCCTGCAGGTCCTGGTGGTCCTGCCGGACCCATTTCACCATCATCCCCATCCTTTCCTGAAGGGCCTCTTGGTCCTATCACTCCACGCACACCTTGAGAGCCATCTTGACCCTTTGAACCTGGAAAACCTCTCGGACCAGGTTCACCATCTCGTCCGGATGGCCCAGGTAATCCCGGTGGACCAGGCATACCTTGTCTTCCCATTTCTCCATCACTACCGGCTTCTCCAGGTATTCCAGGTAGTCCATCTAATCCAGGATTTCCAGGCATCCCTTGAGCACCAATCACCCCTGTGTCTCCTTTCGGTCCAGTTTCACCTGGTGGACCTCGTGGACCAGGCTTTCCTATATCTCCCATTGGACCGAATAGCCCTCTATCGCCAGGCTCTCCAGGTGGTCCCATTGGTCCAGCTGGACCTGTTGGTCCTTGTGGACCTGGAGCTCCTTCAGCCCCTTTCTCTCCGGGTGTCCCCTGTGAACCTGGTCCCCCAGACAATCCTCTTGGGCCAGGAGTTCCTTGAGGTCCCATAGGGCCTGGAATTCCTCTTTCACCTTTCAATCCTGGCGGTCCATCCTTACCAGTAGGACCCTAAATGTCAACAAGAAATGGTTGGAGAAACTATTAAAGTGGATCAGATAAAATGGAATAAAGCTTATGGTTGAACTTATCCGATTTTATATTATTGCATTGAACATAGTTGTTTCGTCATAATCAATAATTTGAGTTTTATAATCAACCGTTAAAAATCTAGAACAGTTTATCAAAATATGTTTTTTCGGTAACCAACACTAAATTAGCAACCGCTGAATACTAAGAAGCACTGAAAAGTTCCCATTTTAATCTTTAAGCAACTCAGTAGTATTTCATAATGATTTAGGTCTCGATAACAACTGACAATTAGTGGCTCAATCTCATATTTATCAAATTTTTTTACAAGTGTTGTTTACTATAAGGCAAAATATACCAATGAAGTAAAACATGATTCGACACACTGATAACTAGACAGATATGTCCTCTAATATAATAATGCTTACATCAATTTATATCTGTTTAGGATAGCCGAGATTGCAACAATACATGAATAACAGGAAATCACCATAGATGGAAAGACATTAAAACAGACAAACAAAAGATGCATGAATGGTAACATGTTCAAGGTTTCAAAAAGTAATGAGTTAACATCTCTAATACATTGTAAGACCTCAGAAGGTGTTGTCTTTGATTCGTAACCATAGTCCTTTCGTGGCCAGAATCTCAGTCAGGAGGTCGGCGTCTTTTTGCATAACTCAGACGAACAGCTTTCTTTTCAACATTGCTCCTTGTTTGGGCTGTATTGTACTTTGATATAAATAATGAAGATCTAACCAAATCACTTTATTTATTACAGCTTCTCAATCCAGTTTTTTCAAAGACTTTCCATTCAATCTCGATGTCATTTACTCAATTGTAATACCACATGTAACCTATTAAGACATCTTTAAAGATCATGCCTGTAATCTACAGTTGTCTCATACTCATTGGTTAGTATAGAGTGGATCACTAACTAAAACAGGAAGTTGGGCGTTTTGTTTTTAATATAGGTGATTTAAGTTAACTAATCTAGAACAAATTTAGGAATATATGATGATGAGAATGGGTCAGTACTGGGACTACGCTGCATTAAATGGGTTAATTGAATAAAATATTGAAAAATTCACAGAAGTATGTTAAGGATATTATAAGTCTGAAAATGAGGTAGACTAGTAATTCACAAAAGAAAAGACAAGTTACCATCGGTCCAGGTTCACCATCAGCTCCTGGACTTCCATCTAAACCTGGATCACCAGGATCGCCCAGAGAACCTGGTGCACCTTGAAGTCCTTCATCGCCTTTTAAACCAACTGGTCCAATCATTCCAGAAGGTCCTGGAGGTCCTTGAGGACCCATAGAACCTATAAGCCCGGGAAATCCATCTGGTCCTTGTGTACCCATTTGACCGACTGGGCCTTGAGCACCAGGTAATCCAAGTGGTCCTTTAGGTCCAGGTGGACCAAATGGACCTGGAAGACCAACTTCACCTCGTTCACCCTAAAATATAAATATAAATATTTACTCAAGTCAATTTATTGTAATTCAACGGTTTAAAAATATATCATGTAAATAATAACTGGCTACGATGTGAAAATATAAGCCTTCATGAAGCATTAAAATAAGTTATTTACAGAGAATTATGGGAATCCCTACATAAAGAACGTGCTATCCTCACGAAACTCCAACATTGAATGATCTGTAAGTAAGACAGCAGATTTAGTTATTAGTTTCAATCATGAGTTTCATTTTACTTTTCTGGCTTGTGATACATTTTATTTATTATCCAAAATAGTATGAAAACTTGTTACACATCCACGTTTACAAACTTGATAACTATAAAAGTTAAAATACTTCAACAAAAACGTAGTAGCATAGAACATGAACACTACATTAATGACATCAGTAAAACTCTGTTTTAAATCTTTGAATAATTGTTCCCCTTGTTTGATACGCATTATCAGTACTCGAAGATAACTAGAGAACGAGAAGATGACTGTATCAAACATACAGAGATAATAAAACGATATTGTGGGGATTTAAAACTTGTATTCATTAGAAATTGATATCACCAAATTAAAATCTATGCTAAAAGATTCAAATATCACACTTCGTAATTCTCATTTGAAACCAAATTGAAGTCATAATGGAGCTTAACACATATTGAGTCTACCATTTTTAGACTTGTGGGGTTTTTTCAAAGAAATTATAGATTATCATATTATATGCGCGGTATTAAAATGACACCAAACAGTTTTCATTGACAAAACACACTTAGCAACTAAAAATATACACAGTTTTTCTAGCTTTTTCATTATTTAAAGTATGTTTAAAATCAAATTACAGTTTTTTTAATTGCATATCTTCCAGTATTAAAAACCATAATATATAGTTTGTTTGTTTGTTTTTATAACGTGACATACTATCAACATTGTAAAATTCTTAATGACATGAAACGTCTACTCCTAATATATGTTACTATTGGTAACAAATTTGACTTACCATTGGTCCATCAATACCTGGGGAACCTTTTATACCTTTAAGACCAGGTATACCCATTGGACCTGGTGGACCTGTAGATCCAATTAAACCCATTGGACCAACTGGTCCTGGTGGACCTGGAGTTCCACGTAGACCAGGTTCACCATCTATACCTGGTTTACCATCGAGTCCTGGATCACCAGATGGACCTGGTGGTCCACGTGCACCATCTTCGCCAGCTGGTCCTGGTGGCCCGGGTTCACCAATTTTTCCTGGTGGTCCAATAGGTCCTGATGGTCCAGGTGGACCAGGTTCACCTGGAGCTCCTCGAGGACCTGTTACTATATTTGGTTGCAAAAATGGTCCAGGACCTTTGACACTCTGAAAAAAATCAAGCAAAAGAAAACGATATACATAAATAACCGAAATACAGTTCAATATTTCATGCATGAATATATGCATACTTTTCAATAATTCATAAGGATATGCGATAAATATTGAAATGAATGTGTTTTGCTTATGTGATAGATAAAGGATTTGGTTATTATAACGAACATTTAATTATGAGATAGCTTATGTTAAACGGATAATCACTCTTAACTTGTTAACTGTCTAACTCTAACCAATCCACGAAATTGCGGCACCGTACACCATTGTCTTTTAGGTAAATTAGAATGTTATATGTATACAATTAGATTTCAATAGTATGGTTAATGCTAGAATTGTTTACATTCAGTCATCACATAAACAATCAGTTTGCTCTAAGATTTAGTAAAACTGTGTAAGGATAACCATCCTTTCTCAGTGTTCAATAAAAGTGTAATATCTAGCATTTTTGTGTATTTTCCCTTTCATTTTATATGTCAGTGTTCGATATAACAGTGTAATTTTCATTGAAAACTTCATTTTAATCATGTATTAACATACGGTTTTCATGAAAGTGAGACCCTCTAGGGGATCCCGAATTGCCAGATATGAAAAAAAGACAAATAAAGGAGAGTTAGTGTCGGTGATGAGATCTCCAGTGAAAGTTATGATCTCACATGTCGGTACTGACCCAAATGAATGGAAAAGTGGCAGATATTTCACATGTATTAAACATCGAGAAGCAGATACCTTATAAATTCATGGACATTAATTCTACTCCAAAGAGACAGTTATATTCAGCTACAAGCATTTTTTGGGCATGTCACATAGGCCGCACAAAGCGATCATTATCCAAACTCATCTCGGAACATTATCCGGCTTGGCTCTTGAAAGGGGAGCGAAAAACAATCACGAGTTCTATACAGGAGCACTTAATCAACTGTGGACATATCGCTCCAAAAGACTCTTCGTTTAAAATAGTTTACAGAGTCAAAGGAACTGGATGGAAGGGGGTTCGAATCAATATTTCATGCACCGCAGAGGCTTTGGCAATCCACAAACTAAAGCCTGAACTTTGCGTGCAGAAACGATTTGTCCAACCTCTCATCCTTCCCTGGCCCTAATTCCCTTAATGGGTATGTTTCTAGGTGTGTGTTTTTTAATGCACTTTTATTATTATCTATATTTTAAATTACTATTTTGCACTTTAAACTCTAATCATTTATTATTATTACCTTTTACAAGTTTTCTTGATTATTATTCAGTCTATTATTATGACCTTTGTTGTTTTGTCGTTTTTCTTCATATCTGTCAATTGGACTATTAGCTGACCCTTAAATTTTGTTCTTCCTTACCCCTTGATTAGTACGTTAACCTCACTTGTTATTTATTGTCGAATTCATTTTTGTGATACAATCCATTCTCACAGATTGAAATCATGAGTCAGTTGAAGCTAGACCACCATTGAAAACCTGGAAGCACTGGACGGCCGTTTCGTCCTAGTATGGGACTCCTCAGAGATACCAGCTCACTGGTGACAACGTTATATGGTAGCGCAACTTCGTGGATTGGTTGAAGTTAGACATTAACACCGTTGGATGCCGGCTCAGTGGTCTAGTGGTTAAGTGCTCACGCGCGAAGCCAGTAGGTCCTGGGTTCGAGCCCCGCGTGGTGCGGGATCGTGGATGCGCACTGCTGAGGAGTCCCATACTAGGACGAAACGGCCGTCCAGTGCTTCCAGGTTTTCAATGGTGGTCTAGCTTCAACTGACTCATGATTTCAATCTGTGAAAATTTTTAAAAATCTCCACAAACCCCTTCTGATAACAATCCATTCTATCCTTCTATAGACATACATTTTCCATATAACTATATATACGAATGTACAGCTTAAGTAAATGATTTCGTCGAAAGGAAAATTTTCTTCGCTGAATTCTCTTTTTCTTATTCAACGATACTATGGGTTATTTTAATTATCTAATTTGAAATTTATTCATAAAAGTTAACTAGAGCATTCAATGAAGTTTTATCTAGTAAACTAAATGCATATATACATACACCCCCATCTATTTATTACGACAGCAGCCACTATCCCGATATAAACTGATAGGCTTATCTTTCCTTATTTTTTTCGGTAAGGGGGATTTTAGAGATTGTTCAGTTTTGTAGTTTACATCATTAACTGACTTTAAGTAGAGTAGCATTAAATTATTTTTTAATGACTTGTATAGTTTGGAAAGAAAAACGTTTAACCATTATTAGAATGATTAACATCTTTAAAAAAAATGAAACAATTTTATTTACATACTGATGGTATTGGAGTAGTTTCTGGTATATCATCGTCTCCACCACTCGCTGAAATATCTTCATCTAATACACCATCATCTTGTCTTCGAATACGTACAACTCGTTCACCTATACAAATAAGAGAGAAATAAATACACAAAAGTCAAATAAAATATCATATTTAACAGTTGAGTAAATAAATGAACTTTTTCTCAAGCATATTTAACATGGAATATTTACCGACTGGTCGATATTGAATAGTATGGCTTTGTTTTAATGCAAATTTGAGTGAAGTCCGATTGAGGACACATGGTGTATTGAATTGTAGATTTCTATTCATATAACATTATATTCATAGTTCTGAGTTAGACCATATGTGAATTTTATAAAGTTCATACTATTAGAACGGAAGATTTACCTATCTTAGTGGTCCCTAGTTTTGTCTTTTTTTTCAGGTGAACTCAGACCATTAGAAATTTATATAATGGTAGTAATGGTATAGTGAAAAAGAATACAAGTGGGGACAACTAAATATGTTTGAGCACAAAATTACAGAATCGCTTAGTAAAATCTCAGAGCTATACAGTAAATACTTCATTCATAAAATGTCTATCGATTGTCTCAAGCTTCATTATTCCTTCATTTCCATGTCGATCACTCTCTGTTCTCATTCTCTTCTTCTCAATCTCCACAATCTTCTGCCTCCAGGCATTCCAGTTTCGACTGGTGATACATACTACTTATATCTGTCGACATCAGCAGCACGCACTACTACAAACATTTTATTAGAGTAACTAGTTTTCAACACGAGTTATGCAATATTGCAAGAAATTTCCCTCAAACATACATTTGAATTATAGTTATTCGACAATTACATTTTTTTAAATTTTTTTTTCTAAAAATCGGTCTTGTCCACCCATGTTTAGTGAAGTAAGTTGACTGTCAGTTGAAGTGATACAACCCCCTTTTGTTTTCATCCATATGATGTTGAATAAATGAATGCCGATGCATTGATCTACAGCTTTTGAAAGGGGGAAAATATACCAATAACTGTAATGTTTCCGTTTGAATTTTCTGGTATTTAACATTGCAATTAATTGTAACCCTTCTAAAATCACATGTATACACATCCAATTACCATTCATAATCAATCAGTTCAAATCGATGTAAAACAGGGAGTTTTATTATGATATTTATATAATTGGAAAATAAATTACCCAGATATTTGAACAGGTTATCAGTTGAAAGGGCTAAATTAAACTTGATTATACATATATTTACAAAATGTTATTACTGTTTAATTAATTAAACTATTTTAGGTAAAATAATAGTTGTAAATCGAGTGTTCTACGACTACTGGGACACATCTCAAATTTAATGAAATTACACCGACGAGATTATTTACTGACTCGACAATAATTGTTAATTTGTCACATGTATTTTCTTTTATCCCACTTTAAAAAAAGTATATCATTGAGTGACTAGCCCTAAACTTTACTAAAGGTCCGTTATTATTGTTCATTTGTGAAAGCTATTAAAGAGATCCATTTAATAATAATGTTCAAGATTAGCTTTACCATAACTGAATAATAATTCTCATATTTATTCATAAATTTACATTTACACTTTCCAAGTTATTCCGAGGTACCTCTGTGACGCATGCTACTTATGTCTATCGATATAAGTAGTAGGTAACATCAATCAAAGGTTGAATGGCTGGTACCAGAAGGCTAAGAAGATCAAGTTGAAGAAAATAGAAGGGGAAATAGAAAGGAATTGTAAACTGGAAGAATTACACAGAGTATGAAAGACAAATGATGGAAATTTACAAACGAAGCATTTAGTGTATAGTTCTCATATTTCACCAAGATAATTCTGTAAATAAGTTGGTTGTCCTCTCCTGAGTCTTCGTTCACTACGCTTCTACATTGTTTTATTCAATCATACATACATACATAAATACAGTGTATCACATTTTTGTGCTCTACAACTTCATCATCGAATGTAACATGAGATCTACACCAATTGTATAGTTAGAAATTAGAAATAATTAGTTTCTATTATAACATTACCATAGTTCATAAAAATCATTCACATTGATCTCGTTTACTAGTGATGAATAACAGTCTTATCATCAGTCTAGACATAACAGACAAAGTTGGTTGGCTGTTTTTTAACCTTTAAATTTTATTCTTGATTTAAAATTTACTTCAAGATACTTACTACTTAAGTTCAATATTTATCATATAAATAACATATTTAATAAATATTTAGTCAGTTGGTTAATGATTCCTGATAAAGCCTTTACACTAACTGTCTATGATTCTTAGTCTCTAGGCGATTTATAGACTCTAAATCTCTTCAATTCCTTAACCCCTAGCGAAGTCAAAAGGCAGAGTTGTGAAGAAAGTTTCAATTCCAAGTTTGGTTCTTGTACAGAAAATAAGGAGGATTAATAGAATTACAAGTGACATTGGTATTCAGGAAGACTTTGGAAAAGATACTAAAACTATTAATTAATTCAACTTCTAACCAAACGGATTAGAGAAAATTACAATTTGTTATTTTCAATATTTTCCCAAAAACTTACCATTAACATGGACTTACTAAAAGAGACTTTGAATATTTTCTCAGCTTCTAGAGCATTTTCTTTACAATTATAGATATCGCCCTACGTTGCTGTCTTTTGATGATTATGCTGTATAAGTCAGTTATTCTAACATATTCACATTAGTATCATTGAATGAAATATGAACGGTTTCGGTTAGATAGTGCTAAGCACATTAGATACTTTGTAAGTGATATCAATAGAAAAAAAGGTATTGTTCTGTACTGAACTATTTTTGTTCTATACCTTCAATATTTGTTTACTAAATCTTCTGAATCAATAAAATTCCTGGAAATACATTTAAAACTTGTCAAGAATCTGGAAAAAATGTGCTCATAATTACTTTTAACTGATTATTACATTTTTAAAAATATGTAATCAAATAAATAGTGTAATAAATTTGTGTTATTCCTTAATCTGATTGGTCAAACACTGAAATTATTACTGATTTCATTATATTTTCTGTAAACCTCTAGAGCATTAAGATCGATCGTCATAACCATGAAATCTTTATTGGAAATTATGTTCACCCACTAAGTGAACCAAAATCTTACTGAAAAGGCTGAATATAAAACGCTGATTGAACTTCAGTACTCAATTGACTAGTTATATACTTAAATTATTGAAATCAGAATAGTTCGTTGATTTATTTTTACTACTGAATAATGTTAATTAATATGAAACGTAGTTAGGAGAGGATTTCCTACCAATCTACATACAACAAACCTCGAAATCCTCAGTACTTACTGAAAGTTCGGTATCATTTGAATCCTCGTATTAAAACTCATTTAATTCTCAATGGGTGGGTAACTACATAACAACTGACACAGTTGAAGTCGACCAATCACGACTTTTCATCAAAACTATAAATATTAATGAGTGCATAATTTAAATGACACCTCTGTCTACCTCAAAATGATATTAATCCATGACAAAACCAACATTAAAAATCAACCGGTCTTCGAAACTTTCTTTATCCATATAATAACAAAGTAATTGTAATAATCGTAAAAATAATAATAGCACTACTGATGGTAATAATAATAATAGTAATAATAATAGTAGTAATCATAATATTTCAAAGCAGTATAAAAAATGATGTAACTACCATCAAACGACAAGTTCTGAAGCGCCAAAAATAAATATTTATTTGGATTTCTGTCTTTACAAAATTAAATAATTTTTAATGGTTGAATTCATTAGTCAATGTGAGCTAGACCACCATTGAAAACCTGGAAGTTTTGGACGACCATTTCGTCCTAATATTGGACTCTTCAACAGTACGCATCCACAATCCCACCTGTGGGACTCAAACCTAGGACGTTCAGTCTTGCACGCGAACGTTCAACCTTTAAACCACTGAGCCGACATCCAACTACTGATGAGTCCCATACTAGAACGAAACGATCGTCCAGTTCTTTCAGGTTCTCAATGGTGGTTTAGCTTATTTCGACTCATGAATTCAACTATTAAAAAATCACTACTATCTCTACAAACGTCCATCCTAAAAATTAAATATGTAAAGTTCCATTTTACATGTGTAAATAATGTGTACATTCAAAGTTTACGCTTTTATATTTCTATAATAGAAGTGGTCGAGTTAGAGTTAGATTCAGATAAATAATTTATAGCAAAAAGATCACTAATATTTGTTTAAAATAATTCATTATTGCATAAAATCGTATATCAGTTGATGCTTTTTGTTGTTGTGATAACCTTAATTGGTAAATAAAGCGAATAATAATAGTTATGACGAAAGTGTCTTAAGTTGGTGGAAAAGATTTGCAGCTCAGCTGGATGATTTTGATGGAGTTTTGTACTCTGAGCTGGATGGTTTGGTCGTGGAGCTTTCATCGTTCTTCTGAACGACATCATCAGTACAAACTTCAAATGGAAGTGAAGTGTTTGAATTTATCACAGTGTTTTCAGTAATTACATTTCGTCAGTTCACTATAAATTTCAGTCTTATTTCATTTATTTTCACATTGTGTGAGATGGCTGGATAGAACATCAGTTCATTCAGGCTTAAAGATACATTTTGTTTACAAATGCCAACTAGTATACATCACAAGTACATAAATTTTATCAATTAATTATATGTCTTGTATCAGTCATAGTACATTACGATGTTAAGTTATTGGAACTAATAGCCACACTACGTTTTAATTAACAGAATTCTATCAGTCCTATGATAGTGCGTACCATCAAGTAACAGATTATTATAAATATGCTGATTTTCAAACTATTTTATACTCTTTATCACGTGAAAACTTCCTTCTAGTATGGTCTATGTTTAATCTCTTCTTTTATGATAGATTATGTTACTACTTTTTCTACTTTGTCATTTGTTTTATTAATTTCATTTTGCTTTATTGATACGGTATGGCAGCTTGAGCCGATTCATATATGTCCCGGGTTCTGCTTTGAATGTGATTAAATGACTAGTAGATATCTTATTTCTTCTAGGGGTCAGTCTGGATCTTTATGGCTGATTAGTAACGTTTCTAACCGTAATATCAGTTGACTCGATTTCTTCATCCTTGTAGATTCACACTGTTATCAAGTGCCGATTGCCTCTACGGAATCGAGATCTAATGCTTCTTGATAATTGTCATCAACCAGTTAACACTACGACATAATTAATATAGTCATGATGACTATGGCTTGTTGTCTAATTCATGAGATATTTAGTTAAGCAAAACATTTCGTTTCATGTAAACACAGCAATTAAGGTGATATGAATGATCAGTGATACAATCAGTTTGTGTCACTTTAAATAGAAAGTATTTTTGCATATGATATAATGAGGCGAGTAGTACTGAAGTATACCTTGTGGAACTATCACACGAAAGCTTATTATTTATAATTTAATTGTATAATTAATAGACGTTTAGATTGTTGTATTTTAACATTCTCTTATTTCTAAACTTTTGTTTGATCCACATATTGTTGTCGTATGTCGTATTGTTTCAGATTTATCACTAATCAATTATTCTCCTATTACCTCTGGTTTTGTATCACTAATGACTAGGTTACGTACATATTGTGACTTACCTCAATGTTTATCTGAGAGGTCATAGACATCAGGCTCCTTATTGTCTCAGTTTTGAGCCATGTTTGAACTGAATACATCAGAGAACTGATCTACTTTCTGTCTTTATCGTCTAATTCAACACTGGGTTCAAAGGCGTTTGACGACCAACAGGAGTTACGGTCTTGATTGTTTTGTTTAGCTCGGTGTGTCAACTGGTAAATAGGTTACCAGTTCTACTATGAATATAGATGAACTAATCGATAACTGGAATAGGGAGAGAGGGAGGTCATATAACTGCTTTCCTATTATTACGGCCTAATCACATGGGATTAAATACTATCTAAATATCTGTTTTTTCCTACTTAATGGAATGATTATTAATGGGTGGATGCTGCTACTGTGGTAGATGTCTAGTGCATCATTAATATTATGGAAAAATAGATAGGAATAACACCTTCAACCAAAATATTTTTGTTAGAATATTCATATTCCAATCTACCAGTGCATTTATAACCCTCTATGGTAACCTTTATTAACCAAAATCCGATACCTTTTCAAAACATACTGAGTGAATATGTGACGATTAGGATATTTTTCATTAACCAATTTGTTTTATGATACTGTTTATTCATTTGTTATTCTGATCGTAATAAGTATATATTAAAATAATTAAAATCCATAGTCATGTTATGCGTATAGTTGTATTTTAAATTAGTGACTATCAACAATGAAATTCAGTATATGTGTTTCATTCTATCCGGTGCTTATCAGCAAAAATGTAACTGAATCTCGATGTCGGCGTTTTCATAATTCGATTTGAAGTCAGCATCTATCTCACTGTCCGCATGACCTGTTAAATCATAATAATGACCAATTATTTCAATAGTATAATATTGACAAATAATCGACTTTTAATGTCATCGTTTCATGAAGACATCAATTCACCTAGTTCAATATATATATATATATATATATATATATATATATATATATATATATATATATATATATATATATATATATATATATATATATATATATATATATATATATATATATATATTAACAGAAATATTATGTGTGTAACTAAACCCCGAAATTTTCAAATTTTTATCTGTTCATGAAGATAGTTCAAGAGTACTAACATGAAACTAAAAATCTGTTCAGTTCTACCTTTTTTTCTCTTCCCAAATTTATTTCACTGGAATATACTCTTTAAATAACATCTTCAAACCCTAATCTTTCCGAATACTGCTTATACTCTTACTACCTCTACCACTACGGGATTTGAATAGACAACTGCATCTCTGTGCTAATGTGGTATGGCAACTCGAACTGATGTACGTACGTACAGACTGACTGACTCAGTTCTACCTGGCTTAAATCAATCTATAGTCAAGTAAAACAATCATCAGAAATATTATTTATTTTAACATGGTAGCTTATAAAAACTAAATAGGTCAACAATAACAAAAAAAATTTTTTTGAAATGTGTTTTTTTCTTGTTTAATATTTACTAGTCTAAATACAAAGTAAAAAACGAAACATGTTTCATTCAAAATAAAGTAGACAAGTGTTTCCATGTGTGTATGTGTTACGTTTCTGTTAATAATCAACTGTATAGACTCTAAAAGCCTAAATCAATATTTTTTTATTTAGTAAATAATAAATAAATATAATTAATTTTAACAGTTAAATTCATGAGTTGATCTAAGCTAGACCATTATTGAAAATCTGAAAGCACTGAACGATTGTTTCGTCTTAGTACGAGACTCTTCAGTAGTGAGTATACAATTAACTCAATCAATTCTACATTGATGCTTTTTGTCTTTTAAAAGTATACAGTAATCAGGTATGTGTTAAACAGATATAAGAAATAATAGTGAAATTCCGTCAATAACATGATAGTGTATTTTAATAAAACACATCAGACAATGAAATGTCTTCATTTTATCAGTAATTGAATAGTAATAATAATAATAATAATAATAATAATCTATAACTTAGATGATATTAAACGAGTTTTAAAAAAAGGAATTATCAACAAAATTAAGGATAAATTTCTATTTAATTATTACATTGACTACTTCCGGTGTAAATTATTTTATTAATATTTACTAAATAAACTGTTATTTTAACATAGTTATGATTCAATATCGACTCATATTTAATTGGTTGTCATTTTAAGCCCTGAATGTAGGTGACTCTCGTTGAATTTAATAGTCATAGTGGTATATAGTAGTTCCTTTAATCGTTTTCTAATGTATAGATTGTACATTTTTAATTAGAAGATAGTCTACTTCAATTACTAAACAAATAACTAAAAATTACAGAACAAATTGGTTTATAACAAAACTATTAAGTCTACATGGATCGATTGGTAAAATGTTTTTTGTCAGGAACATGTTCTTTGCTATAAAAATGTATAAATCCATCTCAGAGAAAATAATATCGTTACTTTAACTAAGTTTCTCACTGATAATTTAATATTAGATATCAGTCTTTTCTGAGTTTTTACTGATCTATGCCATATACATCAACTAACTCATAGAATCACCAACGAAACCAGTTCGGTATTCATTAAAAAATGTTTAAAATTTATTAAACTTAAATGGCTACCCTTTTTAATGTTTGCATTTAGTTGCTCTGGTTACTTCAGTAACCAATAAATAAAGGCTAACATAAATCAACAATATATATATATATATATATATATATATATATATATATATATATATATATATATATATATATATATATATATATATATATATATAGTATAGTATAGTATAGTTGGTTAAAATGACAGATAGAGTGCACAAAACTTACTTGAGACTAAACTGACTGTACAGCACAGTATGCATATAAGTAATATCAGAAGATATATAAGATTATGATAAGATGTATAGTTTGGTAAATTGCATAATATTTTAATCCGCATTATTTAAAAAATCTCAATTTCTCTATCGCTTGCTGTCTCTCTCTCTTTCTGTGTCTCACTCTATCTCCTCAAAGATGGTTATATTATGTATAATCAATTTGTTGATATTATTTCCAGAATTAATTAATAGATATTAAATACGTTTGGGGAAAAGTAAATCAGATTAACACGGAAATGAGAGATCAACAGAGAAATATACCAAGTGTCCAATAGATCGGTTTACAAGTTGAAACTACTTTTCCTACCGATTACTGTGTGTATATATATATATACCTGAATATATACAATTGAGATTTTGGACTACATATCGGTTGATAATTAGAAGATATGTATGTACAATTGACAACAGTCACTTAGATAGGAAAAATAAACGCACACTAACAAACATATATATAAACAAACAATACAAAAATGAATTAAAGTGTAATAGAGTTTGTAAAATTATTTCTTACTAAAATAGTGCAGTAACAGAAATGTCAGAGTTAAACAACAATTTAAAGTTGATCATTTAGATTCTGATTGGTTAAATGAAAATAGATTACTATTTTATTTGTAACCAATCAAATTTAAGGTTTCTCTTGAAATTAGATAAATTGATAAAAGAGAAGAATAACAATGAGGAAAAAGTTGAATGAAGAGAAAATAGGGAACAAGAGGATGACGAAGAAGGAGACAAGAAATATTGTGCTTACAGAGAATGAGAGAGCGAAAGAAAGACTAGTATTGACGTAAACACCATGTCCAATATTATGGTGTTTTGTATATATATATATATATATATATATATATATATATATATATATATATATATATATATATATATATTTATATGAGAGATTATTAATGCTCGGTTTTTTTTTCTTTAGAGAGCAAAAATAGTTTTTAACTTTTCAACTATTATTCTTTATATTGTAAAATGTAATTTGTGATGAATAGTATATTTCAGACTTTATTCCATTCATTGTAGTTAGTTTCAGTCTCTAGAAGGTTAAAATGTATTTTTGACTATTATTCACTTTAATTTTCATACGAAAAACAAATTCTAAATGCTGACTGAATAATTGACTTGATTGTCCAATAGATTATTGCAGTGTTTTATTTATAGAGTCATTGATACCTGGAAATAAATACATATTCTTCTTTCATATCTATTTGAAGAAAGGAAGTATATCTACCGTTGAACTCAACGTGTCGATTTAGTGTAAGATTCATAGAATAAAAACATTATAATCAACAGTATGATTTTAAATGTATATTTCTTCCTAGTTGGGACTCGTCAGGTGGATGTAAGTGTATACCGATGCTTATGTTCACATTTTGACTCGTACCAAGTAACTTTCGCTTCAGATTGATCAAAACCCAGTTTTGAATATCAACAATGAGATGACTCAAACCCTTTCTAATAGTAAAATAAATATCCTATACGTTGAGCAAGTAAGTGTATATCTGGATTCAATAGCCCGATAGATATCGGGTTAGAGACTGAGTTGGAAGGTACTAGGTTCGAGTCTCAGCGTGAAAATTTGAAAATTACCCCACAAGCACTAGTTTTCATTTTGTTCCAATGATTTTGGTGATCGACTAATCATCCTCGAACGGTTTATTATTTTCATGTTCATTAACTGTTTTTTCTTAATAACTTCTTACCACATAACTGATTGACCTAATTCTTAGGGGTTGGCAAATTGAATCTAAATCAACATATCAGCTGATCACAAACTGACCTGAATATCAAGAATCTAAAAATTCCCTAACAGTTTTAACTTTTCCTTGAGCCATAACTCCAGAGTTGACATCCATAGCTGACCTACGTCAATCGATATTAATGATGACATATTGCGTAGTTTGTAACTGCTTATCTATGTTCATAGATAAATATCAGTATAGGATTATTAATATTTTTTAGTTCCTAATTAAGATCATGAATTGATCAGTGTTAGACTGCCATTCAAAACCCAACTGATGATATTCTTTTTATGATAACATTTTTTCCAATAAGCAAAGTAACTTTTAGATTACACAAATGGATTATATAAGTTCAAATTCCATGGAAAGTAGTAGTTCCCTTATGTCTATTAATATACATTGTTGATAAATGTAAACGAACTCAAAACTTAGGTCAATTAGAAGTTCATTTCAACTGGTTCCAAATACTAGATTACAAAAAAACATTTCATACAATTATGAAATCATTTAAACTAATGTTTGTCGCACCGCAATTTGATCGATAGAGTCCTATCATTAATAAAAGTCAGAGAAAAATGATAGTAATAACTACTCATTGTAAATTATACATTTTGAAATTGAAAATGTCAGAAACATTTATTTGTTAGGTTACAGTTGTCAATTATTTAGATACTAAACGTGACAAGGTTATAGTCTACTTAACTACTCATTACTACTTAACGTTGAAGTTAATTAATATCGATTGATTAGATAGTAGGCACAAGTACTTTTTTCTAATTGATTTTTCTAAACATACTTAATTTTCTTTGACTAGTGCCTGTGAACTATTGAAAACTAAATATTGAAGACTTTGAATGATGATAGTTTGAAATCAGTTTTCATATCATAGATTTACTCACTTTTCGACTTCATTTTCTTCCTAACCAATAACATTCGTCTTATTTTGAAGTAAACATTTTCACAGAAATTAATTAATTCACCAAAGGAATCCTTTTGAAAGAGTTCATTCGTGAAGTTATATAATTTATCTAACTTTTTATAAAGGTTTGAATTGTCCCATTGTTATTGATATTAAGTACGTTAATTAAACAATATTTTCTGGTATATTTGGATCCTGTGTGGACTGTTACGATGTTACCTTTGATTACAAATTTCTAGTCTATTTAGACTGTGACTAACAGTACAATTAGGGATGTATATTTCATCCTATCGGGACTTGTCAGCTAGTTGTATCCGCATCTCAATGTTGATGTTTATACACTAAAACCTATATGCAGTACTTATTACTTCATGCGCGATCTCATTATCTACTAATTTTAAACATCTAATGACTTGTCGAACAGGTATGAATTTCATTATTAAATGATTGACGACTTATATAAGTTCTGATAAGTTGAGCCAATACGAAATCATGCTATTTAAACATCAAATAAATTTCTTTATGATTTTCCTTATTTTTCAACATTAAGTTTGATTACTTAGGTGGTAAATTGTATCAACTTTATTTATGTCACAGTTCACGTTGATATGGTACTTATTAACCAAGTATTGATTCCTGTACTAAATTTTAAGCTAGATCATTTTTATAAGAGCTACTGATGGCATCTGATTGAGAAGTAGGAAGAAGATTTGAACCTGTGGTTTACTGGTTGAAAGCCAAGGGATTTAATTACTGTCACTACTTCAAGAACCCCATTACAAATAATTTGTTATATGCTTCTGAAAACAACCATTGACAGATAGTGTTTGCAGAACAGATAGACTTAGCGTATGTGAAATTGTTAGACAACTCACTTGTACGTGTTGATTTCATTCAAAACAACAATAAAAGCTGAGCTCGTGAAGCCATCTAGTTCATTGAACGTAACACCATCGAAAGCGTCCAGATGAACTATAAATCTTCATCATCATACTATAATCACTATCAACCATATAAAAGTGTTACCATTATCTCAAGATTATTTAAATGTATGCAGATGAAATTAGGTTTGAACTTGTGACATGATGATTTAAAGTTAAGTTTTACAGGAGTTAGACAAACATGATATTAGTTACTGAATTCACACTGACCACCAACCAATATCAATATTTCTGTTCAGGGACTATGGTTTCTTGCCAATTCCTTCCGGTCATCAAACGATCAAAGGTGTGTATGTATATAAACCACGCATTCTATTTATCATAACAGTCAATAAAAAGGTTTATTGTACACAGCCTAATCACTTAATTCCTGAAAGCGATATTTAAATATCAACTAATAGCAATCACACAAAGAAACAATATTGACTGTCCATTAATCGTGTTAATATGTACAGTTATTTTGTGCCATTATTGATCAACACTCAGAAAACTAGAGGGATATAGACAACTAATGTATACATAATAGAATAATAAAAAAAATGAAAGGCCGGTGTGTAGGCGTATTTATAAATATACTGTGGATATATATATATATATATATATATATATATATATATATATATATATATATATATATATATATATATATATATATATATATATATATATATATATATATATATATATATATATATATATATATATATATATATATATATATATATATATATATAAGATAAGTAGTCAATACACATACACCACCAGTGTACACAGTTAATACGTGTATATATATTTCAGCAGGTTCTGTACCCCGTTGGTATCATACCGAAGAAGCAAATAATATTTCTGGAAAAGATTTTCATTCTTTTAAACAACATAATTTGGAAATTCTTAAAAACGAAATGACATTTTGCACAGTTCTTACTTTTCAAGTTACTTTGTTTTTCTCTTCAAAATGAAAACTGGACAAGTGGTACAATGTTTAAGAAGATTTTTCCATGAGACTATAATTTATGGACGATTTTTGAACGACGCTAAAGTGACCTTGAGAGTATCCCCCTAACAACTACGACTAAATGAGGGTTATGAACCATTGTGAGTAATTATGAAATTTTATAAAAGGGGCTAATTGCTTTAAATGAGAATTATGATTTACAGTTGATGGTTAAGGTTGGTAATTAGATTTAGGATTTTCATCACGTACTGACGTTAGCTATAATGCCAAAACGCCATTTAGCCGAATGGATGAATGAATTTTGCGCCAAAATCTTATATCTGACTGGTTCGTCCATAAGTAATAGTCACACCGATTTTTCATTAGATTACAGTTAAATGGAAATACTGTTCCAGTTATTGAATACTAGATTGAGGTGGGTAATATAATTAAAAGGGAAACAATTGAGTATTTCGATTATATTGAACTTGTCTTGCTTTCAGTTTATTGATTTCTAATCGAGAATGTGCATTTGTAATCAGTTATAGACATAAGCAACATAGAACCTGGGATAAATATGAGTTAGTACAAATCTCTATACCATATTATTAATCTGAGACTTAATTAGCAAGACGAATGCTAAAGGAGTTGAAATTATTGTAGTAACAATGATAGTGAGAAAGATTAAATGTTCAGCATATGATTAGAGTAGACAGAGTGTAAAGAAGATATGTATGAATGAATGCCAAGCCTCAAGATCGAGAGGAAGATAAAAAGTGAACGTATCTATCTCAGTGTGACAGCGATTCTGACCCATACCATTCGAAATCGCTAGTTTTCAATCGTGGTTTTCACATAGACACTAACAAGGTAGTCTGTGCCAACCAGCATGGCTGAAACCAGTAATCAGTACTTTCATGTAATGATGCTACATCTTCATTTGGTCGCTAAGGTTCATTTGTATATTTCAGCAAAATAATGCTCATTTCTAGATATTCGAAAACATGTCGTTGAATATGACTACTGGAGGTAACCAATTCACCAAGTACAGGTTTAGGTACTCAGCTTTGACTAATACCGCTTGTTTGGCAACTATTTAATTACCTAAACCAAATTAGGTACTCCAGTGTTGGTTGCAAGTCAACTATTTTAAACATTAAACTATCATGATAGTAATTCACTGGAGCCTCTCTTGAAGAACATACTATGAACTTACTTTTCAATGATAGTGGTCAAAACCTTGTTATTTAATTCTTTGTGTTCTGTATTTGTAAAAACAAAAAAACATACGCATAATCCACCAAAATGTTTATAAAAATGATTATCTGGACTAGGATAAATTATTTACAGGTCAAATATTAAACCATGTGACACAATGATTGACCTTGTACTCATTACACATGCATAGGGATTTGGTGAAATTATTCTATTGTTGACACTATTAGATATAGACCGATAGGTTAGTTTCTGCAACTTTTGAACCTATACAGATCGATATGTCATAATTTTGAATGAACAAAATTTAAAGAAAATCAATCTCACTTTTGGTTAACCGAATTTTAGAGATCCATTTACTGTACAGTATATATCTAATATGACGAGTAGTGAACTACGCCTAACAATTAGGTGCGAATGACCTGCATTTGGTATATTCTCCACTTGTGTATTTTTTAAATGACTGCTACTCGTGTCTGTTCTTATGTTCAATACTTTATATATAGACGTGTTATGTTATTATAAAACAAAGAGTATTCTATTGGGTAACTGTTTTGACTTCTGATACCATGTAACCTGTGGAGGAACTCGAATGCCTCACTTCTGTCTGAAATTTTTGTGCAGGAAGACAATGAAGACTTCATGATCAAACCATCTAGCTCAAGAAACAAAACACCACCAAAAAAATTGATGGAACTTACTATCACTACCAAATGGTATCACTGAATCCTATCTATCGATTAGAATTCTAGACATACATCTTATGATTACAAGCCTCGTTTACACATTAGATCCTCCTGTATAACAACTTCAAAATCATATTAAGACCCTTTTTGAGAACATTTCATATTTAACGCTGCTTTTGACTTACGTAAACCGTTTTTATTTTCCTAACACACTTAACACTTTTAAATAGAAACCTTACAAATTTTCAAATCAATTGTCTTTTGTTTCATAAGCTGTAGTGATGTTAATAGTAGCCATCTATCTATTGGCCCAGAGTATTAAACACGATCATAGGTGGAATGTCTAACTGGTAGCTCCTCATTATCATAATCAGCCTTCGTATAAATTAAAAGAACTAAATACCATTGTAAACTAAGATGGTTGGTGGCTAGCACATATGCCAATAAGAGACTGGCCAATTACAGTTCTGAGCATCAGTGGGAAGATTCGAACAAACAATACCAATAATCAAAAAATTACTACCATCTCTACGAAACCCCCTTTCTGATAATAATCATCATATGCTCACTAGTGACTGGCTTCAAGAGGTATTTCCTGGAGTTCTAGTGAGAAACCGTGACCAGTGGAGTTCAACCAGATCTGTTGTGAGATATCAACTCACAAGACAATGACCCGATTTCGTGGATTGGTTGAAGTTAGACACTGACACCGTTGGATGCCGGCTCAGTGATCTACAGGTTAAACATTCGCGCGCGAGATTGAAGGTCCTGAGTTCGAATCTGGCGGGGGGGGCGGAACCGTGGATGCGCACTGCTGAGGATTCCCACACTATGACGAAATGGTTTTCCAGTGCTTTCAGGTTTTTCATGATGGTCTAACTTCAATTGACTCATGATTTCAACTAGTGAAATTCCTAAAATCTCCACAAAACCCCTTCTGACTTGAAAATATGTTAGATTAATTAATGGTAACTTCATTACCGGTACAAAAAATTCCTGTTTTATTTATAAAATTAACCTATAGATATGAATGTACAACATTTTGGAAAATAACATGATTGACAAGCAATTTTTCTTCGTTGAAATATCTTTTACTTCACTTACAAACGGAACAGATATGAGTGCATTTTGAAACTTTATTTCATACAACAAGTAGATATTTAAGAAAATTAAAAAGAAAAAAAACAAGACAGAAACAATTAACAAACAGAATTTCATATTAATCCAACAAGTTATATACTACACAGTACACTCAAGAGTGACAAGAGTTAAATGAAGTTATCAAATTTTACTAGTAATAGCAAAACCCAAAAAAGCAAACAGACAATATTTGAATGTAAGTTTGTATGCTTATGTTCTTCAATTATCAGAACATTGAATTAGTAAAAGCAACTAGGAATTTCAGTGTCCCAGGTATAGACATAAAAATAGTTATTTGTAATCAATGACCACGAACTTCATTATTAATTGATGATAGATATGTTTCGATATGAACACTCTGAAATTCCTTGCATAGTACTACATTCAACTAGGCGAACACACACACACAGATTTATAGACAATAATAATAAAAAGTAAATTATATCGATAAGAGCACCACCCATGATATCATCAAAAGTAGTGAATTATGAAGGAAAACGGAAAGTTAGAAAAAAATCATAATCATATATACATATACATTTGTGTACATATATGTATAGGGGACATTTAAATAAACTATTAGAGTTCACTTCGAACTGGTGTAAGCCGAGGTTTCTTGACATGTTTAACACTTGATTTTTTCGCTTTACGTGTTGATTCTGCTTTCACTTTCTCTCTAATCATTTTCTATAAAAATAAGTAAATAAAACGATAATACGAGGTGAAGAAAAGAGACAGGCAGATTGATACAAATTTAAACAAAAAACAAACTGTAGTCAGTTAGGGAAGATACCAATGAAAATCAAGCAACACACACACAAACTGAGTAGCTTAGCTGTTTTGTCATAGTGTGGGATTACTGATATGTTTGTATAAAACGACGATTGTTTGGTACTTTATTGAATGCCTAATTCCAATTACGATACAATACATTTACATGTGTGTATGGTCTTTTTATCATCATCGTTTCTTGGTACATTCGTGACTACTAAAGTATGTATTGGGCAGGTCTGGGTGCTAGTAGTTCATATATTACACTAAATGCTGCAATTACTTTCATTTATCATAACTACTACTCAGTGATGTGAATTCATGTTTCGAGATAAAATTGAACTAACTAATATCATTAGGTCTGTAGTTAACACAATTTTAGACCACTAACTTTGAAATCAATTTGTTTGATATGTAATGCACTTTGACGATTTCACTTGAAAGGATAGATTTTCCTCGATCTGTGCTCAAAAACCACCAAAATTTGTATTCTGATGACAATCAGTCACTAAGACATGTCAAATTACGTTGTTTATGCATTTTATGTCTTGTAATTTATGTATGATACAATCCATTTTTATAAAAATTCATAGTATACACTATTTCAAATGATCAACGAACACTAGTTTTGAACATAATTATGTCTTTGACTGGCTTACTTCAGTTAACAAACTAACCATTTAAGTTTAGGATTTTTAGTTATTGCTGATTAGGTTCACTGGATATTCTTAATTCTTTGAGGATTCCATAACTACTCAGCGATTTGAGCTGAAAATATTCAGCACGGCAGCTAACACACTTTATCACAGAGGTAGTCTCGACAATTGAATACGCGTATAACCGGGTAATATGTACTAAAGAGTTTTAATTCTGATACAACTCTGTTTTAAGTCTCAATTTACATGCGTAAAGACCTAATAAAATATTATCCAACCGTCTCAATTAACGCATATGAAATGGGGTCGTTAGACACTGCGCTACAACCCTTGAAAGAAACAAACGGAACAAACTATTCACGATCATACCTACTAGAAAAGATATCAACTACTGGAATTAAATACTTGAACCATTGGATAACCAAATCAGTGGTCTGAAGATAACTTATTCGGTACCAAGATCTGAAGGGTTGTGGAAGCACATTACTGAAGGGTTCTTTTTGGTGTCCCTGAATTCTCTGAGCTGGATACCTTAATCATAAAGCCTTCATTGCCTTTTTATCAGTATAAATTTGAAACAGGTCAGAGAGGAAGATGATCAAAATCAGAGAAACAGAAGTAGCTGTTAGTCATAAGTGGAGAAATTTGAACAGATCACTTCTATTTTAAGTTCGCGCTGATGATGTCTAAAATGACAATGAAAACTTCACAACTAAACTACCAAGCTCAAAAAAATGTAACTTTAACAAAATTACCATTTTGAGCTACAGATCTTCTCTACTATTTCAAAGATGATAAATTTTGTACAAACACAAAATAATTGTTCAGTTGTACTTGGTTTTCTAACTATGATTAGTAGTACATAACAGGTACTGTAAATATTTCATACCAAAAATAAAAAAATTCCGAATTACATTTGTACAACTAACAAATTACTTGAAAAATAAATCATCAGATAATAATTTTTTGATTGAGATCATGAACCGATTGATGTTAGACCACTATTGAAAACCTGGAAGCACTGGACGACCGTTTCGTCCCATTGTATGACTCTTCAGCAGTGCGCATCCACGATCTCGCTCGCGGGATCATCAATCGGTTCATGATCTCAATAAAAAACTTAACAATCACCACAACCCCTAAACTAACAATATTTTTCAATAAATTTACCTGATCTGAACTAAACTCATTTACATAATTTGAATCTCTGATTACAAAATTTAATTCTTGTTCAGTTAAATGTAAAATATTTTCATCTGATTTACCCATTAATTGTGATTCACGTAATAAATTAAATGACCATTTTAATAATATAGATATCTCATCAATTCCATCATAATGTGAATGATAAACATCAGGAAAACGTAGAATTAAATCACATAGTACAGCTGTATTTTCAAAAGTTAATGCGAAAGCTGAAAAGAATTTTTTTAGAAAAGAAAAAGGAAACGGATAAACAATAACTAATTACAACATAATTTTAATAAATAAGGAATTTCGACGGAAAGGGAATTTGTTGTGTCCGAAGGAGACTAAATTATGGGTAACGTCTGGGAACTTCCTATGGACTGTTATTACAATATATGTAAACTTATTGTATAACTGTTAAGTAACTGGATTATATATATATATTTATTTCTCTTATTATAAGCTTTCATTTGACTCACTGGCCACTATTATACGATTTACTATTCTTAAGTTATCCCCAATCTATTAGTTACGGTCTTTCACACTCACAACCACTCTTGGCTTGACCTTGTATAATAATTATTTTTCATTTTATAGTGTGATGGGATCGGGTCTGCCTGTATATAAACTACGTATATCTGAAATATACGATTTATATAGTGGAGGCTGGGATTATGTCCTGGACTCAACGGGTAGGGTTAGGCTAGAAGGACTGATAAGTGTTCAGAGTTGACGCAAGGCTGTTGTGCTGGTTGATGTGTCATTGCTTTAGCACAGGAACAAGGTCATATAAGTCGGTATTCTAATTGGAGATTTTATTGCATGCTATTTGGCGGGCTTCAGGACGTAACAGAATATATATATATATATATATATATATATATAAACCTGGAAAATGATGGCTTAGTGGTTACGGCGTTCGAATTTTAGCCGTTAAGTCCTAGCTTCGAACCCTGTGTCATTTCCTTCGATTCGGACAACCAGGTAGTATCGTTAGCCTTCAAAATTACAGTATGGCTCATACTTGTGCACCTGATGAAGAGATGTGTATTTTGCATACCAAATTGATAGAGATTTGTAGTAAGTGGAGAATTTTCGAATTATTGAGTTTTCTTAGAGAAATTGTTCAGTGCTGGAAAATTGATTGTTGTTCTGAGCAACATTATTAAAGCTAAATTTATATATAAGTGAGCTTTTTAATTATTTTCCGAGTGTTAAAGCAGCCTGTTCTGATGACTTTGGTTGTGAATGGTCACCGCCAACGTATCTTTGACTAAGGATCATTTATGTAGATAATAGCGAGTCGATAATGTAAAGATCAACGTCTTAGGAAAGAACTAATGATGTTAAAATTCAAATTTCTTCAGTATAATGTGGGTTGTGAAGATTGTTGAATTTTTTAGTTGAGCACCATGGGTTGGTCTTAGTCTGACCGAAGTCAAAAATGTAAGTCACTGGATGCCAACTCGCTGATTTGAAGGTTAACAGCTCGTTTCAAGATCTGAAAATCTTACGTTCAATCTGCAGCAGAGTTGTAGATGACAATGCTGAGGAATCTCGTCAATGGCTGCTTAACTAAAGTCACTTTGTGGTGTAAAACAATGAAGGTCTAGTTGTTAGTTGCCAGTAACTATTATTATTATTATTATTATTATTATTATTATTATTATTATTATTATTATTATTATTATTATATACTTACCTTGTCCTATTGTATCATTTTTAGTCTCTGAATTAATATCAGTATTTATTAGTATTTTGCGTGATTCCTGGAGAATCTAATAAAGTAATAGTAACAACCATGACGAGAACAAAAGGAAATTATTAACTTGAAGCAAAAATCAATATTAATGAGTGTATTTATCATCCCAACTAAAATCATATTAAGCGAAACTGTAGTGAAATTGTAGTTTTTTAGACCAAAGTTTTCAAAGTAAAGAGATTGTGCTTAGTTGACTTGTATGTGTATTAACGAACGCTCGTTTAATCTTGTTTAGAAAGATTATTGTTACTACCCTTGTCTCCTCTAACTGAAGTAGGAAGAAGTTAGGGTCTCAACTTGTTGCCCTAATGGTTGGTACCATTCTATATAGTCTAGTGAGTGAGTGGGCAAAATAACAGAGTTTCAGTTTAAATTATAAAATATTAACACTCGGTGGAATACACAGTAAATTCAGCCGATAAGAAACAAGTGAGATGGAAATATCCAAACATACTACTGAACATCATGAAAACAAACGACAATTTGAATAAACCCGAGAAACTTGTATTTTTATTATTAGTAACAGATCCGAATTATAGTATTATGTGTTTACTAGGATATGTTTTGAGAGTTGACAGGAATTAATTCAACAAATAACTAAACAAACTCTGATTTCTTTTTATTGATCGACTGCTCCCTGGCTAAATCAGGCCAAGGATTGTCTACTGTACAATTAATATGAAGCGAACAAGCTAACAGGATAAAATGGGCAATATATCCATACCTATGACTATATACACAATAGAGACTTAACTTTTATCGTTCAATTCAAGTCAGTAACCAAGTACGGATTGGTGTACTTGTCTTTGTGAGTAACAATAATTATCTAATAAATGATGACTAGTAATGTAATCTGATTATCTAGACCATACAAAGAGGAGTGGGGTTCAAACCTGTGATCTCAATTAGTCAGTCAGCTACAACGTAGAACCAGGCACATATATGCATCGATACAAGTTGCCATATCGCATTACCACAACAAGATGAACACCGAATTCATGGAAGCAATTAACTCAATGGTGGTAATATATAAAAGAAAGATTGCATGTAAAGATATAGTACAGGAAGAAAGATTTAGTTCGTAGAAAGATATGAGGCGATTTTAATCTCTTAATTTAAGGGAAGGCAGAGAGTGTATACACCTACACCATCGTGATGGATTCTGAGCCATGTCACTCACAGTTCCCAACCATTGGTTACGATAGTCACGTGGACCCCAACCAAGTAGTCTGCATCTACCAACATGGCTCATACCAGAAGTTGGTGACTTCAAGCACTGATGCCACGTTTTGGTTTGGCCACCCCTAACTTTCTTCCAACTATCCCCAACACCGGTTAGCAATGCACGTTGTGGTAATTGATGTTCAGGCATACGCGACACGTGGCCCAACCATCTCAGTCGATGAAGAATCACAACCTCATCAACTGATTTACCATCATTCCCTAATACCCTGTGTCTAACTTCACTATTACTTACCCGGTGATCCCAGCAGATGCCAGTAATATTTCTAAGGCATCTGTGGTCAAATACTAGTAGTCTACGAGTATCTTCGACTTTTAATGGCCATGTTTTGCGGCCTAATACCCTGTGATCTCAATAGTTGAAAGTAATCTGCCATTCCTATTAGTCTTGTATATAATATACACACATGCGTGTAGGTCGAACATTTAAGAAAATATTATAATGGCCAGTTAAAACTAAGCAGCAATTTGTGAATTTTTAAATTAAATTCAGCTTTCTTAACGGACCAATATCCGTTGGAGTATTATTGAAGACCAAAAAACACTTAACAGTAGTTTTGTCCAAATTTGGGACTCCTCTTCAGCAAATAAAGGCCAGTGAATCATAGGATTGAAGTTAAACTCTTCAAGTCTAGAGGGTAGCAATACTTTACAGATGTTCTTCCCTCCTTTAAATCAACCATGACGTAAATCCCAAATAATATAATGCGACAGTAACCTTCCAAAAATAAAAAACGAGGAGGGAAAAATATTTGAAAGACACAATACTTACATTAATAATGTTTTGAAAAATTTTCAGAGCAACATCATCTTGTCGTCCTGATGGTATTTCAGCCAGTAATCGAGCCAATTCCGTCGCATGAATTTCTCTTTTCGTACGAAAAGAAGCTTGATTATCTTTTATTTGTTATGTGATTAAGTAAAATGGCTTGTAATGAAGAGGAGTATACTTATAGAGAGATGAAGTACAACAGTGCGATAGCAACATAGAATCAGAAATAAATGATATTCAACCGGATTAATAAAGTAGTGATTAGTATGTGTGGACATGATAGGCGAATTGATCGTGTTATTGATAAAACAATATCCTAAAATATACTTAAGAGTTCTTTTCTACTCGACCATAAGAATATAGCTTGTCAAATATTTTACTGTGCTATTTAAAAACTAGGGTTGTACTTGTCAGGCTGTAAAGTCTAGACCTTTTCCTAGCTCTCTGAATATGTGGAAATACCGACGAAATTTTGAGAATTTCATTGTTTTTAAATAAAAATCGAGATGTGAAAGTGTTAGGTCCAGTTTTGTGTAGAGAGTTGTGTTGGTATACTCTTTCACACATTGACAGCCTAGTATGAAACAGCTCTTCATTGATACCTAGTTCTTCAGCCGGAGTTACCCCAAGATGAAAGATGTCTTCAACTCGAACAAATACCTATGCCGAGCACTTTACTGAAAAATAGATGAATACCAACCGATGAACAGGTTAGAAATGGATTTCCCAGTTTTAGTTGAAAAGCTATGATATGTTGAGTAAAAGAAATAGATTCTGAACCAAATGCTTACTGGTAACAATGAATGAAGGTAGAGCTATATAATAATTGTTTCTATTGGACAGTATGAACTAGCGTATACTGAATTAGCAGCCAAAATGCAGTATACTCATTTTATTTATTTATTTGAACACATAAATATTGGTACAAGGAGGCACCAGATACATATGCGCCACATAAAACAATGAGAATGGGAAGAGATAAAGAATGTAAGGTGTGTGTAAAAAAAATAATGACCACAAATTAGTGTACGGTAGTGAAATAATATTAGGGGAGGCAGAAAGGTACAACCAGAAATAATTCTTTCAGTTAAAGAAGTTACAACCACTTTTTATGAAGAAGGTAAAAGAAGGTTACAGCAGGATCGCCACTGGCTTCTATTCTGAGCCATATCTGATAACGTCTCTAACCACTGTGTTGCACCATCTCTAGAACTCCAGCCAGGGAGTCGAGAAGGACCATCAGAAGCCAACCTTTTCAGTTTTCTTTCATACCACGACACCATGTCACAAACTGACCACCTCTCCACTTTTTCCAACCAGTCGCAGCGTCGGCAAATAATGCACAACGAGGAATTCTCTGGGGCGAAATTCGTAGAACATGTCCATGCTATAACTTGTCGTTTGGATGCTTATTGTCATGGATCTTTTAATGCTACTTTTTGTAACCGGTCGTCGCTGATTGTTATGTCGGAAACGCTTATCACTTATACTCGGAACGATGGACCTCTGCAATTCCCACGACGCGAAAGTAAGAACATAAAGACTGGTATAAGTGATGATTTATTAACCCCAAAACACGACGACGACGACTGTAGTAGAAAATACACTCATTTATATATTGATTGTACACCCATTTTGATTAATAATTAGGATGAAATCACATATATGAAAAATACTTAGAGTTATAACAAATCACAGACCGAGCATAGTTCATGTCAATGGAATACAAGAATATCGCATATTATACAAAATAAAATATCATACGAGAAAAGAAAACAAATACTACATTGAGTAATCATTACATTGAATCAAAACGGAAGTAATCTTGAACTAAACTCATGAGTAAATCAATCGAAAATTAACTTTTCTTTCAATCATATCAGTCCAAGCCACCGAAGTCGATGTTTCAAGATCGCGACACCAATTGGATTATCGTCTCTGCGCCCGAACACACGATGCCGAACCTCTGCATTACTAACATGGTGTTGCCACTGGATGTCAGCAATCCTTCAGAGACAACGATGATCAAACATAAAGTCGTCTAACATCCTCAACTCGGAGGGGCCAGGTTTCACAAGAATAGAGCAGAACTGCTCTTACCGGCGCGTTATAGATCCGACCTTTTACAGCCAGACTAACATCCGAAGGCGCCAAAGGTAGCCCAGATTGGCATAAGCCGCTTTGGCTCTCACTATACGTGCATTGATCTCATCACTCACACCCCCACCAGCACTTATGCAGCTACCCAGATACACGAACTTCTCGACTACGTCTATCTGCTCACCATCCAGAGTGAGTACAGGATTGGAATCCTGCCAGTTTTGTAGAAGTACTTTGCACTTCGAAGGTGCAAAGCACATACCATACCTACGGACATTGATTGCCAACTGATTAAGTGCGGATTGCATGCCTTGGGCATTATCGCACAGTAAGACAATATCGTCCGCATACTCAAGGTCGAGAAGTCTTTCTCCAGGCAACAGATCCACACCACCATTACTTACATTCATCAGAGCTGTTTCCAGAATGTCATCGATGGCAAAGTTGAAGAGGAATGGTGAGATTGGGCAACCCTGCCTAACCCCACTACTCGAATGAAACAATGGAGAAAGGTGGTTGTATGCCCTCACTCTGCCTGAGGTGATTGTATATAGGGCTTTTAGGATGTTTGAGGGACAGTGAACAGTAAATTTCAACTATGTTTAGCATGACAAAAACACCACCGCGGAACTGGAAGTTGGTTGAAGCTAGGAGTGTACACAACTGCATAACAACTTAGTAATCTGAAGGTTAGGCACTTGCATCGGGGCCTCAAGGTCATGAATGCTTTTATATATATGTATATTGTCCTCAATTTTTAGGCCAAATAGGTTTGTTCGCGCACCTGTGAGCACGTCAAATGATATCATAAAGTGTTGCCATCGATGACCGAAAATCAAATGAAAAAAATAACAGCTAAACAGTTGTGGATAATATTTAATGTTCTAAATGTTCACTAAGTTTATCATAGCTAGTATTTTCAGCCGTTTTTTTCTGTTTAATTAGTAAGAGAATGTTGTGTGTTGAAGCTTAATTTGCATTACGGAACTTTTGATGAACAATGAAGAAGTCGCAAACGACCTTAGCTATTAAACGTGATAACCTTATGTATAGTTAAAATAATAGTCAACGGATTATAGAATTACATTTATAAGGATACAATGCTCATTGCGGAAAGCCCCAAATACAAAGACAGTGAAATTCGCCAAAAAGATGAGAACAATATTGAAATAATTAAAATTCATCTATCAATAAAAAACAAATTATCATACTGAAGTAACAACAAAAGATTTTCAAAAATTAGACCAATAAAATACTGTCACAATAAACCATCATGTTTCCTAACATACATGTGTTTAGCTAACTATAGTCTAGAAGATGGACAGGCTTATAATTCGAAAAACAGGCATGTGACTTACTTACCGAACACTTTGTGTATGACAGACAAATTGACTGCCATGTAAAGGTTTATAAACTAAACATTGAACTACAGCAGACATTCAGATTAGATTTCGATCAATACTTGTTTATGGATTGTCTGACTAAATAAGAGTAAGGATTTGGAAGGACAGGGGTGGCTTCTGAAGACGCTTCCATGCTATAGTTTAAATGAAATGATAGATTCTAGTGAAAGCATTATAACATCCTTCTGAAACCTAGGAACTCAAATGTGTCAATCATAGAAATTAACGACAGTGGCTGTATGTTGTGACTCCATATACAACCATTTACTTCGAACAAGCAATAACTGGAAACATGAAAATAGACAGTTTGACCTGGAGACTTTTATCATCAACACAACAATGGACAATGATATTCAACAAAAAGCTGATGCCAATTGTGAAGTGAGTGCCTAGAATTTTGTTATGAGCTCACATTCGCCTTGACAGATGAGGGAAAATGTCAACTAGACCTCCCAGAAATTGTCTTTAAAATGGAGATATTTTTAGAAAATACGTTTAATGATAGTGATACTAAGGAGTGCAACTAGCTTATTCCAATCAATGTAGCACTACATTAATTTGCACGTGCAGGCAACGCACATGCTACCTGGTTATAGCCAGTATACTGAAAACTGGATCCCGGGTAGCTACATAGTCTCGAATTGTAACATTTGAGCTAACGCAGATCACACTTTCTAATGCTTAGAACTCAAGTTCTAGCTTAGAACTTAATATTAATTTTTCATTTATACAGTAATATTAATGGACTTAAAGAATACAAAGCAGTTGATAACTAAGTAATTCTTGAACATCGAATGAAATGTGAAGCACTTCAAACGAGGCTAAAGACAATGCTGTTTTGTTGTATTTACCTTATTTATCGTAGTGGCAACGCTTTAGGGGTATCGTCCACCGAAGGGGGTTGCGAGTAATTGAAGGTCAAACCGCTGCAAAATGATTGGTTGATCAGACAATTTGAAAAACTGCCAGATTTCGTTTAGTTATGCTATTGAATGATTTGAATTGTAAAAACGACTTATAATAACGGTACAGTCTTCAGTAGTAAGGCAAGGCGATTAGTCAACCTACATTAATCCTTGCAATTTGTAGTGCCGTGAAGATTCATTTGTACTTTAAATGCATCAAAAGGAGGTGCTGATATTACGTGTTCTGGTATAGAACACCAGTAAATTAATTCTCGATATATGAAACGAAACTCCAGAAATGAACGATTCGGTCCTGGTAGTGAATTTTCTTAAAATGTCCTCTCAAGTAATCAGCCCTTGAGGGAAGGAAAAGACAGAACATATTAACACATAAATCATCGTTCAGTATATGCTAAGCCAGTACTAAATCAACTCGAAACCTGCGGTAAGACAACAGAAGAAGGTTGATGAGTTTCAGTCTATCTCCATAAACTGTATCCATGGGATCTTTTACCACTTTGGTCCTTCGACGTTGAATTCGTTCTAGCATTATCTACTTCATACTTGAAACAGGGACTTACTATTGAATCTCACATTATAAATGCGGCCCCACAAAAGTCGGACAGTTTTTCGTCCAGGTGATGAAATGACTAACGGATAATTCATCAGACCCTGAAGCCTTTGGCAGAGGCATCCTGACGGTGAGTCATAGTTCTAATGTTGCTGCTTATTATGATTCCTGTCTTTTTACTCCATCACTAGGTAACTTAATCTCGATTATTGTGCAGTATTATGATAGATTGTTGCTATTTATTTGCATGAATATACTTTGATAACTGCTCACACATCTATTCAGCTGGTGAATTAAGTTCATCCTATAATATTATTCTATCTGAGACTGTGTCAACATCATCAAAACCACCCGAAATTGATACGACGGACTACAGTACAAAGTCCTGAATAGAGAACACTTGACAGACGCATTCCAAGTGAGCACTAGAGTCAGACAAGACTGCCTATTCTCCTTTTCTCTTTCTCCTGGTGATCGACTGGGTTATATAGACCTCGACATCTGAGGTGGAGCACGGATTACAATGGACGTCTCGGAGTCGATGAGACGATTTGGACTTCGCAGATGACCCGGCCCTTCTGTCTCATACACACGAACAAATGTAGATAAAGACAACGAGTGTGGCAGCAGCCTCCGCATTAGAATGCCTCAGTATACACAAAGGAAAAGCAAGACCTTCAAATACAACACGGAGAACACTGACCTGTTGACACTTGATGGATAAACTCTGGAAGAGGTAAGAACTTTCACGTACCTGGGAAGCATTATCGATGAACAGGAAGAATCTGACGGTGACGTAAAAGCTATAGTAAGCAAAACAATTACAGCATTTCCACAGTTGAACAACATATGGAACTCAAAATAACTATCTGAAAGCCAACATCAAACTGGAAATCTTTGACACGAACATGTGCGAAGCCGAAACTTTGAGGACTACTACAACCATCGTAAAAAAGTGCAAGTATTTATAGATAACTATCCACACAATATACTCAATATCCGTTGATCAGATATCATCAACAACAACCTACTGTGAGAAAGAACAAACCAGCTTCCGTTTTATGAGGAAATTAGGAAAAAATGCTGTATGTGGGTAAGACACAACATTGTGGAAGTCATCATACCGCGCCTTGAGGCGAGCGCTGATTTGGAATCCTGAAGGGAAACGGAATATATGAAGACCAGACAACACATTCAGCCGGAAATTCGAGGCAGACATGAAAAGGATGAATAAAAACCGGGAAGAATTGGAAAGGATTGTCCAGAACAGAGTTGAGTGAAGAATGTTGGAGGATGATATATGCTACTCCATGTAGGGTAACAGACGTACTTTAGCAAGTAATTGAGATGCTGTGCGTGTACCTACAAATATTGATATAAGCGGAGATGAATGAGACAGACGGCGTTGCTACAACCGATTAGCCATTTACACAAAGGGAAAAAGGAAAAAGATTGAGGATTATACTTTGGAAAACTCCGCCTTTAAAAACATTCAACGCCGATGGAGGACCATTTACCCATATCCGTTTTATGAATGGCCTTAAGCAGTAGTTTTTGGGCAATTTTATTATTGTTATACCTCGATATGATTATTAAAGCTATTCGAATCACTGTGCGTACCAAGGACTCTCGAAATAGTACACTTTAAGGTAGATAAAACTAGATCAGCACCAATTAATCCATCATATTTGGGAATTAGTAGTACAAAGAAATCACCAGTTAGTACGAATAACACACTCGGTTGGTGTTAGGTACATGAGTAACAAACCTGTTGCGCAAGTGTACATTTGCCATAATGTGACTTCGTAACCTACCAGACTTTACGTGGAAGTCTCGTAGTTACCTATACAAACTCATCCTCTCGTGACACCCAGTAACTGATACTGAAGACTTCTGAAGGATATATTGAGTCTAAGAACAGAAAAATGTATCTGATAAAAAAGCAGCACCTGAATGGGCTAGCTATTCCGTCTTCTTCAAGTGTTCCTTAGTTCACCATCTGTGTTCTTAACCACTTCAACCATCATTGATTTTATTTCCTGCACTAGTTTAAGATTCACGTTGGTTCATTTACATCTATTTTGCAATGTGCTTCAAAACTTGGCAGGAGATATGTATTAACTGAGTAAATGCATTTATACGAATATCCGTCAAGATTAGAACGAATAGTTTGACAGTAATTGAGCGCCGAGTATAGATAAGTCATTATATGTGAAAATTATATTTGAAATAGTCTCAGCGATTGAAATTTAAACCTGTTTTTAATATCACATGCATCGTTATAATTATTGAAAGAACTGAATGAGTTTTTAAACAATACAATTTATGTTTTGACATGCACATCGATCTTTCATTATCAAGTTTTTCATCCTTGAACTTGAACTTTATTTATTCCTTCATATCAATCTCTCACACATACATACATACATACATACACACTCACACACATACGATTTGTTACTCAGTTAAGTATTTCCATGTAGTTGAATTCATCACATGATTTGTAGTCAACTGACTCATTTTATCCTATTTTACAAAAAATCAACACCCAAATATGATTGGTTTAACACAGTATAATCCTGATTGTTAAAAGCTATATATTTCTTTGATAATTTTGATTTTGCTTATTGCCCTGAAGAAGTCCAGACAAGTTAGCTGGACGAAACGTTGGAATTAGTTAAATTTCAATCGCTGAGACTATTTCAAATATAATTTTCACATATAATGAGTAAACGCAGGTTGATTGGGGAAACCCTGTTCTCAGTGGATCGTCACGTAACAAGCAAACTTAAGTGGTTTTGCTAAAAAACACATAAGACAAATGAGCTTCGGCAGATGAGTTAAAATTTCAGAACATAATTACATGTGAGAAAATCAATCGCATTTATTTCCGCCTTATTGCGTTACATCAATATTATAGGTACTTTATGGCGGTGGACTTGTTTCTATCTTTTGTCGTCATATTCTTATCAGCGTTTAGTGACGTTTAATTTTGCGACAGTTTCCATTGTCGATAGCACAAACAACATGGCCGTCTGACAACCAATGTGCCGTTTCACTGCACTGACATTTGGTTGATAAGCAGGTCTTTTAGAGGTAGAAAGCATATATATTCTGGAATTATCCGGTCATCAAAGTTTTCAGAACACCACTCGTATAAGAGGACTTATATATGGGAAGCCCGGCAAAAATGATGGGGTTGGTTTGAGAGGCTGTTGGCTTAAACTGACATATTCCTTTTAAAAAGTGTACTTTACATAGGGGAGCTACGAATCATAATATTATCTAGCTCGGTCAGGTTATAGATGTAGTATCTGCAGCCACTGACTATTGACACGAACCATGTTGTGAAATACAGAATTTTTTAGCAGCTAATCCTCTATGAATCTGAATAACTTTCATTGGTGCGAAATATCTACCAACTTCGTATGCATCCTTATTTGAACCCTTCGTATAATCAGTTGCAATAGCGCTATATTAAAGATCCATATTTGAAAGGTTTGAGGTTAGTCTTATATTAAACGTACCATGACTGCGTAAAGAAAGTTTGAAGTGCGATGACCGAATGAAGTGCATTGAGATAGACGCAAAACGTGCATACATCTTCAGTAGATATAGTCTAGAGATTTAATCCAATGGTTTAGACATGCATTTAATCAGTTGCACGTATAAACAAATTGCGGTAGTTAAGAGTCCTCAATGATTCTTGTGAATGAGTACAGAATAATCAACAAAACTAAAATCGTACACTTTATTGTCTCACAATTGGTGTACTTCATAAAAGTTCATATCGGTAAGGATTTTCAAGTTCATCGCACTATGAGACAAACGTCGAGGCCAGTATTAGTGCACAGTTTTGCGCTGCCAGAATACAAGACCTGATTTAATACTGTGGATTTGTCATGATATGTATGGCCAATTCATGAGCCATATCATTTTCTATACTGACTCAACAAATCAGGACAGTCGTAATGTGTCCTCTAATTAAACAATACAGAACATATTCAATGTGGTAATAGAATAATGTACATAGTGTAAAGAGCGAGAGCGTGCATAGAGTGACTATGCCTGTATAGGCGAGCCACCTGTCCTTATTAAGTGTTCCCGCGTCGAAATGTGTTGACCCTGTGCAAGTGTTTGACGTCTAATTTAAATCTCCTCAGTGATCGTTTGCTCAGCCTTAAAGATTCTGTGATCGGGAACCGGTGTCACTACAGTAACATTTTTGTAAATTCCAGGAACTTCAGTATACACTTGTGCCACTGTTTTTTTTAGTAATGACAACGGACAATAACTTCTTAGTAATAACATACCAAAGCGTTCAAGATGGTACTGTTAAAAAATATAGGTACAGAACAATC